GGAGTACAGGCGACAGGATGGGAGCACCTATGGTGGGTGACAAAACCGGACTCACCTAGAAAGTTCAAACTCGGTAGGAGTACAGACACTGTGTTTGGGAAACTTATGGTGGGTGGCAGAACCAGACTCCGCCCACAGGGGGCGGGGTTGTGCGAAAATTCATAAATCCGATAAAGGTCTATAATAAAAATCAGCTCATGCGGCTCCGTCTCTCATGGTTAGAGCCCCTAGCGCGCGCGAAAGCGTGCGTAGCCGCCTGGTTATATTATATAAGTTCCCGGTAAGAATGTAGTGGTGGAGGGGGGGGGGGCTGCACCCTTCTGAATCACTGACGGGTGGAGCGCAGAGAGGGGAGAGTAGCCGAGCCCGTGACGGTGTTTAAGAACGTTTCATAGCTTTTTATAGTTATAGCTTGTATTTTTCTCCTGTTTTCAGAAAGGGGAGGAGCTCCGGGGCGGGTGAGCCAATTGGACATTCAATTTTTATCTCATCTCACCTTTTTGCACGTGGTAACCATCTCACCCACCTCGGAGCCCCTCCTTCTTAAGGTTAGATAAAAACAATATTCTTCTGGCTAAAAAGCATCTCTATGAACATGTGAAGTCGTATGCCTCTCCCTCTCTGCCCTCTAGCCGTCAGTGATGATTCGAAAAGGCGCTGTCCTCCCACCTCCCTCCCCCCAACAACATTTTCACCAAATTCGGTGAGAGAAATGATCCACATTATTTGAAAAACTATTGCTACGGCGGTCTCGAAAAATATTCCTTTTCCGACGAAAGAATATTACAGTACGTTGAATTAGAGTACACTTGAAGACATTTCTTATTTTCCATATTTCATATGTTGAAGGAACAATGCTTCTGGAACCTTAAGTTTTTACACTGATGAGTGGACGAACATCATTTGTTCAGGATCCTCGACAGCCAGAGCGATATAAAGGAGAGCCGATTTCAAGTTCGAAACTATTGTCCTGCCCTGGGCTTGACGGCAATCAATATGTCATCTGTACATAAGTACCAGCTTAGAACAGCACTTCTGTTGTTGCCTATCGATGAATGCAATGACGACAAGTTCTGCTACTGGTGTACCTTCAACTGACTCCAGCGCTATTGCACGTTTCAAAAGAAAACCTTCCGAAATTCACTCAATTCATGCCGTCATTCAGCTAACAGCATGATAAAAACAATTCGTTTCTATATTGCTGTTATTACTCACGATATCTACACCATAACACTTCACGTTTCGAGTTTCCACTAGATGCAAGATTGGTGGGTTGTAAAGTTTAATTACGCTCTGTCACTATCGCCAAAATGGGGGAAGCAGTTCTATCAGACGCCAGCTTGTGCTGTTACGTATTTTAGTACTGTGTCAGAAGGAAAGAGCACTAGATATTAGTACTAAAGGAAACCAGCGATTCAGTCTCGCACTCAACTTATCCTCCCTGTAGGCATTAAATGCAATTCAACAGGGAAAGAAACTTCCGAAACTTCTACTTTTCTCCTTCTTATAGAATGGTAACCCAGCCTTGTGTCATGATAGTGTGCTGAATTCCGTTGAATACCATTGAAGCGTATAAAACAAAACCTAGTAATATGACGTAGATGTCACTAAACTGAAAATATATGTAAAGGAGTAAAAATGTATAAAAAATAAAAAGATGGGGAGTCCCGTGATTGTGTGATACACTAACCCCCACAACGCATTCCATCTGTCATTGTCATCGAGATCCTCGAACCGTTTCATCCACGGAACCAGGGCGACTTCTTTCTACATTTCACCACAGACCAACCATCGAGAGTTTTGCCAAATCTAGTCACACGAGCATTTTTTAAAATAGCCAAGCAGTGAGAGCATATACCTTTCTCGAACATTTTCTCGTAAAAGGCATGGACTCCTACTTCTCGGCTGTTTTGAAGAATTCAATACACAAAAGGTGGTTTCCGTGCAAGCGCATCGGGCTAAAAACGATGTAATTCGTTTCACGAAAAGGATTCAGCGTTCAGTCGGTAGCACCATTTGCACTTGCAGCCATTTTGTTGTCTGGATTACTCGTAACCTTTACTGACTTTTAAATAAAGGGGAGGTGATTTTGGCTTCCATTAATCGTGATAAATATGTCTAGCTCATGTTCAGAAAACTCGTTGAAACAATTGACCAAAGTGAGAGAGTGAGACTTAGAATCATCGATATCGAGGAGTTTATTCGTTCTTATCATTTCATGGATGCATGTGATCCCAAAACTCTGACATTTCTGTAGTATATCAACATTAATAGTGACATCAACAATGGAAAACATACGTAAATCGAATACTATAAATTTTATCAGAGCAACAAATCGACCCACAGGCAGCAATGGCCTCGCGAAACCCAGACGTATTATAAACAAGTCATTCTTGAGGAGAATTCTGCCTCAATGACCACGAGACTACTACACGCACACACAGATAGACGTATAGACAGGCACACATGGACAGACATTCACACATGCATACAAATCAACGGTAGAACTCGACACGGTCATCTCGGGTCGTACACAACACTAATCACAGATTCCTCGAGGACAACAAACACAGGTACTCTACCCGAAATAGAAGCGAGTTCACGTCGCACAAAATCGGCAACTAGATCATCATGTTCTCTAGGGAAAATGATTACAAAAGTAGTGTATATACGCCTACATCTATGTAGGTATATGTGAAGATTTGTAATGCCAAAGACGTAAAACTAAACAAGAGCGAAATATTAATATATTAAAAACTATAATAAAACATACATATGTATATAGAGACGAGAACAAGTGAAAGATGGATCAGAGGGAGAGAGCACCAGAGATCGGACAGACGTACAGGCGGACGAGCGGACGAACAGATGAACGGACGGACGGGCGCACTTGGAAACATCAGACACTGTGACCACGGGCTTTGGAGGACGGGAACTAGGACAGGGCACGGGGAAATGGGAACTATTTCGAGAAAGCCATAACACATATCACGGACAAGGGACTAAGGACCAAACGTGGACGTAAACATTTATATGACGCTGACAACGTAATGACACTACGGCACATCTACGCACTACAAAAGCGGGGGTTAGAGAAATTAGACTTCTACCACGCGCAAGGGGACCCGATATGGTGAGAACGTTAACTAAACTCAGTTCCGTTTCCTGAATTTAGTTATTTTTCGTCTTTTTCGAGCCTAGATTATTCTTCAGAAAACTTTTCTTCTTATAGCCAGAACACACACTGTTATCACTAACCAAGAATCGAAGAAACACGTCAGTCACGTTTAACGAAAACCTTGTCGCTCCCACCATGCTCGCATCCTTCACACACACACCCGTTGCTGACATGCGCGTTAGCGACCAGTAACTCGTACGAGGAGCCAACAGGATCACAACCCTACAAAAAACTACATAAAAGAGAGAGAGACAGACAACAACCAGAGAATACGATTCATACCCAGATGAATCATATAAACAGAAATGTGCCAATTTGTATACACATATGTTAAATCGTATAAACTAAAAACATGCAACAAGGACGACAATAACAACACACGATGGATACGCGAGGATCGGGTATGACTAGGCTGAGCGAGAAATTTTTGGGGCTTTGAAAGTGAAAAGGGTATTGGAAATCGCTAAGGTCATAGGAAGTTGAGAGGAATTACAATTAGTACATACCAGTCACCTTGCACGTATCCACACACTGAACGAGGGACTGGCAACAATGAACACCGATGTACAGAAACGAACATAAAACTTGTTTAGAGTACCGGATACCACGCATTCAGAATGCCGACGTTTGATCCGTTTCAAGCCACATAAAAACCCATACCCAGTTTGAATGAAAATTACCCACATATAAAGCACAGATCAAACGTCGCTGCATTTCACGTTCAATTCAAGGTCAAAGTAATTACTGGCTCTGAGAACCCCATAGAATAAGCATGGCAGCATGCCAGAACCCCATTATAATAACTAAAAAACATGCAATGTAAGTAATACACGGATGGGCACATGCGGGTAAGAAAGCTACCACATCGACACTAATAAGGCACACTACTTGTAAAGATTATGAGAAACAAAAAGCTGATTATACGATGTAATGTGATCTCGATGGAGCGACGACGCTGTGGTCAAACATTGTATTGTGCAGCAAGGCGTTCTCGTAGTGGCGGTGGAAATTGCGATGTGAACGCCGTCCAATTCTCGATGCCGACTTGTGTTCGAAAACCGTTGAGGATCTTTAATTATGGCTTTTATATGATTGGCGAATCAAAGGCGATTGAACCGCGACAACCTTCGGATCTCTAGATAATTCCTATCCAGAATAAAGTGAGGTAATCGAAAAATAAAGACGATCACGATAATTTTGAGATACCTAATTTGAGTGAAATGCTGGACGTAATGGCATTAGTGGCAAAGGAAGCGCAAATCGGCTGAATTTAAGAAAAAAATGTGAGAAAGGAAGCAAAAAAGGGATTGTACGCCTTGTAAAGGTTAGTTAGAAGAGCCTCAACTGTGTGCTAATGCGTAGAGCTGACTACAGCAGACCAAAAACCTAAAAATTGTATTCCACCATCACCATGGGTCATGACAAGTTGTTGGAATTTTCAACACGTGTTCTCCGTTGCAAATGTTGCAGCCCATTTAAGGTGTTTGAAAACATGGCCAACTCGGTGTGGATACAGTACTTGAACCGCTATTATGCCAGTCGAGGTCCTTGTTCGATCTGACAGCGCCACATATGGCTCATTTAGGGGTGACTGATTCATAAAGGGATCGTTGGAGATGCTGTTAAGTGAGATGCAGTATCTAAATAGAAGGAGGGACGATTCCCAATAGTAATTCGACTCCGCAAAAAAAATGAATGCAGCAACTAGATCTAAATTGACAATGAGGCATATATGAATCGAATTTTGTTCGAAATCAGGATATACTTGACAAGCTCCCCTGTCGTTCAATTTCATGACAAGAACACTAGGTTCTCATCCTTTTAAAACAGATGTTGCCTGCTTTAGCTTTTACAGCTCACGGTTCCGTGAAAAACTTCATGAATTTCACGATGACTGAGTTCGCGAAGATTCATCATTGAGAAGTCCCATCCTTCACTACCATTTCTTCAAGGAAGCATCTAGCTTGACCACATATTTCAAGACTTCTGACAATGACACTCTGACTGACCTCAATGACAAAAGAATTACCTATTATTCATGCAGCTTCTGCTAAGGGGAGCATAAAGCACTGACAATTGTCATTTTAAAAAGCCTAGAACCCCAAATTCGAACAGCCAGCCTCCATTAGATTCTTCATAGTTGACAAAATTGAATTCTCTTATAACTGTTATGTGTTCAACGTGTCAGCTCCACGATTGATATTCAGGGTAGACCTCAGGAAACTTTCTTTTTCCTTCCGAAAGACCTCTCTTGAAATAAATACTGCTTTCAAATTTCTGTACGCCATCCCTTAGTTTCTCTAATGCCTACATCAATGAGAAGTGAAAAAAAATTGCAGAAGTCCTCAGTCATCGCAGACAACGAAGTGACCGGATGCCGGGTGTGTGGCGATTCGCGCGATTCTAGGCGCGTGCGGCAAATTGCGCGGCGAAATTCGGTGCGATTTGGACGACTGCAACGTTTATTATTGGGGCCCAAATTTGAAGTAAAGTAGGTTAGTAGGATTGTCCGACCCTACTTAAGTACTCTACTACAGTTTGTGCCCCAATGATAGGCGCCAGAGTTGTTTGAACCATCGCGAATTTTGCCGCGGATTTTCCCGCATGCACCCAGAATCGCACGAATCGAACGTCCCCCCCCCCCCCCCCCCCCCCCACCCCGGATGCCTCATGGGTTCTAGTATATCCCAACATTCGTGAACACAACAGCTTATTCTCACTTCCACTATCCGTTACAGGTTCGTTGTCATAGACAGGAACACCATCGATGCATGCAATAAAATTCGTTAGCAAATCCACTCCGATTTCTTTCCTTGTTTCCATCAAATGCGCCGAGCAATGCAAGGAAAGTCTCCTCGAACACTTCGTTCGATGTAAGCATGATTTGACTAAACAAGAATGCAACTTCTCGCATCTTTACGCGCGTTTCGCCAAAATTGAACAATGCAAAGTAAGGGGCCCGTGTGAATCACATATAGCTTGTAGCAGCGACGGTTTCATAGATTTAATTTCCATGGTTTTGAACCTATAATAAGTAGTGACTCACGCACCCGTGAAAACATCTCCTTTAGTTCAGGTTTTGGTGATGTCCATGAGGCAATCGCATCACACAGGAAAACAAAGTCCTAAAATTTATTTGTCTAATTTGCAAAATGATACCAATCTAAGAACTGTCTGTCGCAAAAGGGTACTTACTCTGAACGATAATATTGAAAACTTCTATTAAATACATTATCTTGCACAAGTATTGATACAAAATAACTCACATTCACTACTCCGGAAGGGTTTAGGTTGATCATGTAACAAATGCCACGGAAAGCACTCTCTTTTTCCGCGTTGTCTCGTATATTCCGTAGGCTGAAGCATGCAGGCCTTATAAAAGTTACCAGATGAGGAGCAACTTCTTCTGCACAGTACGTTCCCAGACGACCAATCGTAATCGCTGCAACAGCATGCAATGACTATATCAAGTCAAAATTCCATAAGGGGACTCCTCGCTACATTTTTCAAACTCATTTGATTTTTTGATCAAGCCTTGTTACATCAATCACCATACAAGCTGAAACACTCACGGGAAGTGAGCGCGCGTTTTCGGTGTGCAACTATGGAAAACGGGCAGGCAAGAATTTGGAATACCTCGAAGGAAGAGCTAATCCGCTTTCCTGAGTAAGTTAAACTGAAACGCATTCTCAGGAGGCCCTACCGCGCTGCAAAAAATGTGGAGAATTAAGCAGAATCACTTTATTTTCTAGCCAACAATATCTATCCAGCTTTTAAGGTATTTGACTGGGATGAGTGAAGCGTCTACCAAACAATACAAGATGTAAGAAGGAATGACTTAAAAATTGAAAAAAACGTCAATTACATAACGACTAAGGCTATACAGCGAACTTATCTATAGCAGGGCCTAAAGGAGCGTTTCATTAGGAAAGTAGAGATCTCGAATCGCCTGTACCTCGGTCACTATTTAGATTTATGGTTGCTAAGAACAATGTTCACCAGCGTTGCATAAATGCTCTTTGAAATAAAACAACATCGTTGCAACTCAGACAGAGGAAACCCAGCTAAGGTTAACTTCCTGCTCGGCGAGCTGTACACCTTTCTACTTTTCATTTCTGCCACTATCTTCTTGACATTTTGATGTCCAATAATCAGTGAGGGCAATAAGGGTAAGAATCAGTTCTTCAGAAGGTATTCCTGCGATTCCTATTCCTTCAAACAGATTGATGAAATAGTTGGCAAGAAGAGCACCATTCATACAAATAACGAATACTCAGTGCAGTGAGCGTACAGTGTACACGTACAAAACTATGCCTCTTTCTGTGTCATGCCAAAGAATGAACGGTAGGCGGTTCAAAGATGCGGTTTGTGATATTTCAAAAAAGTGCGTGTTGATAATGAAAAAAAAGGATCGAAGGTAACATCTACACGCAGGTCTCACGAAACGCTGCAGACGTTACACAGGGACAGGGAGCGGTGATTTGAGAAAATGTTAAAGAAGAGCGTATATACGCAAGCATATGTAGTGGGAGACACTATGACAAAGAAGCTGTGATAGAAGTTGAGGTTAGGACTTCCTCATGTGCTGCCGATTGGTTTTTAGAGAAATATTGAAGGTGAAAGTCATCAACATTCGAACACCTAGTGACTCTGTGCTTGTTCAAAAACTCAAACACTTAGCAGTTTTAGTGTAACATTTTTCAGTGATGGTAAGGTAAGCTCGCGTGCCACCGTCGTGGGTAAGGAAGCTAAAGCAAGTGCCATCTTATGTTTTCAGTCACATGAAACCGCCAGTACACCTGATCATGCTTGAATCTGCGCAACCCTAGTAGGAGTAAACTACAACAAAAAAAGGTTCTCACAAACCTAGGAACTACTCACCAGTGTTTTCCAACAAGGTTCGCTGACCATCCTTTTGATTCATTACCCGTATAAGATGAGGTAGTATTGATAAAACATATTGTTTCATTTCAGCGCCCATTTTGAGGGACATCTGAAAAGTTCTCCGTTGTATAAATAACTGGTAATGTTGTTCTAACTTCAGCATGCACACAATACGTACTCCTTTCTTTGTGATTCCTAGAGTTAGAAATAAGGACACAAGCAAGGGATGCCAAATAATAATATTACGCGGAGGACCGGAGTTGGCAATTGGCAAAACTAAAGGGCTTGGAGAGAGTCAGTTCTCCGGGTGAGAAAACACAAAGACATCTCAGCATGAATTTTTCACAAAGTTCCTCAATCACGTACCTCACCGAAAGCCCAAATGGCATTGTTGCACACAGAAATATGTGATGGGTCGAAGTTCATCGCCAAAATAGGAATGAACGTTTCTGAAATTGTTGCAATCACCCCCTGCCGGTTAAAAACTACAATTTTGCAGCTTTCTATAAGGACTTACGAGTGTAAGGCTTAATGTGATGCCAGCAAGCTTTTGTGAGATCTCCAAGCAATGCAAAGCTACTTTGCCGAACTTCTGGTGTAGGGTCCTAAGTGACTTGAGAATAGCGAGACAATATATGTGCATACAAACTGCGAAAAGTAAAGGCCTAATTGAGAAAAACGTGCAAAGTATAACATATGCTGTTGACTTACCACAGCACACAATGACAATAATTGCAGAACTTCATTACGACCAACCAACGGCTCGATGTGAGAACCCAAACTTTCTGCCAGACCAGACAACAAATCCAAGGCAACGATGAGATAATCCTGATGGCAAAACATTTTCCTATATCCGCTAAAAGAACAAGTAGAACTTTTACCTTATCCGGCATTTCCACTTCATTTGGTCTTTGCTGTGCCTCAACAGATTGCCGTAAAGATTGTGTTATTAGAGTAATGCACCTTGAAACAGAGCTTTTAGAAAAGTAAAGATGCTTGAGCACATAGACTTTTATTAGCCCATTATGATCTCCCCATTGCAAATTCGCGAAAAGTTACCGGCATTACCTCGTGTACACAGGTTCGCAGTATGGCAAAAAGGCAATACCCATGGCTGATGCCACCGATGATACGCACTCGAGAAGAGGAAACAGCTCCTAAAACAAAAATCGAATCAAAAAGGCGATTGTTACTATAGTGATACGATAGTAAATATTTACAGAAACTATGTTCGCACTATCGGGCGCATATGTAACGGCTAAGCAGAAAAAGATTGCAGCATCAGCAGAAAAAGCACCACAAGTTTAAAGGGTAAATAGATAGTGCTCAAAGATATGTCCCTAACGAGTTGCGAGGTTAAGAGCAGTCAGATACGAGGAAAGTGTTCAGAAGAAAAGCAAGAAGTAGGATCTATAGAAACACGCAAGATGATAGTGTACTTCTACTACGAAAGTTCAAATAGGAAAAGCAACCACTCGCAGTCAGTTACCTTATCGTCGTTTCCAAGCCTCTGCCATTTTTCCATGAGTGGGGGCATAAGCACCTGCACATACATGGGCTCACTCAAAGCACTACCAACCGAATTTGCCAAAGTCCCAACAGCATCGTACAAGATCAGCAGATTCTTCGCCTAAACATGCTACTTTAACTTTTGCTGTAAAATTTGTGAGCGGAAACATTCTCTACCAACTGCTCAAATTTTCTAAGTGAATGCTGGTTTTGCACTGGAAAGGAGAAGAAGAAGTAAATGCTCACTTGATAAATTCCAAAAGCCTGCACTAATGTCTGCAAGATATCCGAAAGGTAAGGTGCGATGAAATCTCCACCCTCCTCCTCCACCGTTGCGAATGCACTGCAAGCCGCTTCCTGCACACGTTTGTTGCCATCGAGGACTCGCACAAGAAGCTTAAGTGATGATAATGGCTTAAAGCTTTAATGACTCCCACGCCATCTTGAAGAATTGTTGTACAAAGCAGTGCACTTACACCTTTCAGAGTGAGTTCGAAATACTGCTGACGCGCCTCATCTACTACCCACGAACAATACCGTGACAAAGTCCAACAAGTTATCGATCTGAAATGTAACGATCACAAACAAAATCGCTTCAGTACCGCAATAGTCACTGGGCAGACCGGACAAGAGGTTTCTTGTCATCCAGCATATTGAGGAGAAAAGGTACAAGTTCGTGTAGATGAGGAGTGATGCCATTCATACAACCTTCAGCAACTGCACCGAGTGCGAGAATTCCTGATTCCTTTACCTGAAAACTGGTATATTATCTCGGGAAAGTAATAAGGCGGCTAGTTTAGCCATAAGTGTATAAACAAACTGTGTCTCATATTATTACAAAAAAGGTTGTTTGAAACTATCGTAAAACTAGAGGAGAGGATATAAATTACATATATAATATAGTAATATAGAATATGTATTAAACAGGGTGTCCCAAAATTATGGGCGCTAATTCATCGCAATGTATTCAAAGCTTCCCAGCAGAGAATGATAGTGGAATCTATACGCAACTTAGCTAACATTATGCCTTACCTCATTACGAAATTCTACAATCAAATTTCAAAACACCCCCCATGAACGCGAATAGAGGCTCAAAGTTTATTCTCAAGCTCCTGCATGTTACACGCAGGTATCCTCCTCCATTTCTTCCCAGTCGTTCTTGAGTCCTGTCTTCTAGGACTTCAAAGTGGGACTTCACAAACCCGACAGACCTTTTTCCGATCGGAGAACATGCAGATCATCCCGTCCAACCATTTATTTCGCACACGCCCGCCTCCTGTGAACGGAGTCCGGTCCTGCTACTCACTTGCCCCCTCCCCCCCCTTCCGGACTCCTACCACGTTTGAACGCCCTAGGTCCACAGGGAGATGATTTATGAGTTCCCGGTCGGGCTCACACACCGACATACCACACGCACACACACATACACAAACACACCAACAAACCAAGAGACACACTTAGCGAATTATGCATAGTAGGATATCATTAATTTGCCAACTATCCAAGTGTATAGTCCAAATAAAGGACCGAACAAGACCACCGTTTTGAATGAAGGACTAATGCGTGAAACATTTCAAAACGGAAGGGACCAGAGCCGAATATTTATCTTCGACCCCGTGTCCATTGAAACACTTCTAGGAAACTCTTGAACAAACTATTATGTAGAACACATTACAACATTGCAGCATTTCAACAAAACACTTGAGAAAGAGTTTTCTTTCTAATCCCATGAATTCATCAACGAAGAAAGTGGCCGTTGAAAGATAGCCAACTTTGTATGAGCGAGAGGGTCGTGGGAAGGGATAGCGATGTTTGTAATGTAGGGAGAGGTGCGCCAAGTACTGTAGCGAAACTGATAAAGGTTCGGAAAGACCGACTAGACTTCTGCCTCACATTTACTACGGTTATAAAAAAGTCGCAGCTACGGCCCGCATGGGTTACTTTCAGTCCTATTGGCCCCAGCGAGGATTGCTTGTAATATTATCTCTAAAAAACATACATATGTACGCCGCTAGTTGAACCTGGAGCCACTGTGCTCAGACTAGCGAAGAAAAGGGATGTAGTTACATTGGAAACGGTCCAAAATAATTACACACGTAAAATTCTTGTAGATCTGAGAGTTTTTTACTCCAGCATTCCAAGAGCATACTTCAGAAACAGTTACTTCGACCTCGCAACTCTCCGATCTCGGCGCATGGTATTTGATGTATGCATGTATTATAAGCTCTTTAACTAATGCGCAGGGCTAGGTCCTTTTGACCTTATAGACCATCACGTATTAGAGTTGGACTGGCCAAAATACGTTTGACTTGTACAAGGGCTGGCGTGAAAGCCAGTAGTTTTTCATTTCGAGCCGCAAACACTCATAAAAAGTTGACGAAGAATAGTGTTTTACTCGGTACGCGGAAGAAGTCATAAGGCAGATAGCTGCCAAGCTATTAAGCTATGTAGCCTAGTAGTCGTGATAGGGTTATAGGTGCTCATTTCGTTTACTTCCTTTATTTCTGAATGTTTCCGTTTGGTAATCGCATGTATTTTATTTGTTGAATTTTCTCTTCTGCTGGGATAATTCAGTTTGTTCTCTTACGTCCGCCTTAAGCGCCGTAATAATCATATACATATACATATACATATACATATACATATACATATACACATATATGTCTTCTATTCAACAAGAAGCAAAAACAAAACATAAACAAACAAAAAAATCTTTGTCACCGAAAGAAAATTAGTCCCTTAGCGTAGATGACTTACTTCCCACTCTTGATGGCAGAGCGCTTCTTTAAGAATTGGAAGAAGTATTGGTAATAACTCCTGTTTGAATATCGAGGCCAACACATCCAAAGAAGCTGCAGAGCAACGTCCTGCAATGGGCCATTAAAGGTTCGTACAAAGGCTTAGAATTAGTTCCGTCAAACTCACGGATGTTCCATTCAGCATAGGTCTCGTCACTGCCGTCGTCATCGTTATCCTCAAAAAATATACTGCTTTTAATAAAGGAATCACGAATTCAAAAAAGGATTACTGAGATATCGATAAAGTAAGAAGTTAAAACAAGTAGGAGCCGGTAACATCGCAGTAGGACGGAAGTCAGAGAACGTGCGAGCGGCAATGCGAGCACTCACTAAAACGACGATGGGCTGGAAGAAGCTGAATAGATGCAATCGCGAGGAGACCATTCCCATGAAATACGAAGATACGATATCAAAGACCAGATTTTGGACAGCCGTTATGAATACGTTCAACGAAGGAGGACTTACGCAAACAAGGGTTGCCGGATACTACCAAAAGCATGTACTACTATGATGGGGATAAAACAAAATGAGTAGACTGTGGCAATAATCTACAAAACAAGGAAGAATTTTCTACAAGAATACATTAAGCTGTCTTCAAGCCAACGCTGAAATTCCAAGTCAGAGAAGAACGAACACAATCAGTTATATAGAGAACATAGACGTGTTTTTTCGAAACTCACTTCACCGTTCAGTTGCCCTGCAGCAAGTTTGGACTTGTGGAACCGCGGCTTGATGTCTTCGTCTCGATCCGGTATCATTGCGTCTTCCTCATCGCAATTTCCCTTCAAGACACAACAATGGTTTTGTGTGAACTTTCGAAATTTAAAAATAAAAACCGATTACCGTCCACTCTTACTGTTGTAACCAATCCATAGGCTGATTATTAAGTGAGATATCTCACCTTTAGAGCAATAATGTCACTTTCCGAATACCGCATACACTTAATGAGCACCGGAACGAGTTTCCCAAGGAAAGGTGAAAGCAACTCTTTGCAGACGTCGGAGTTTTCAGCCAAAGATAACCAGAACTCGCATGCTTCAACAGCGATATTCTCGTTTGCATCCTGAACTCATCAAAATTGAGAAAGAAAGCGCTTCTTACTTCGATAACGAAATACGTCAGAAAAACGTTCAGGACAATTCCTAAAATCCTAGGAAGGAAAGGCACCATTTCAAAAAAAAAAAAAGGAAAAGAGCAAAGCATAAAAGAATAAGGGCCAATGCCCATATGTAAGCTTTAATTTGAAAATGTTATCATACAGCCAGTATTTTATTTTCATCGGCATGATGTTATTGCCACTGTCAGATAAAACGTGCGCCCCTTCACCCATTATCACGGCCCTAAAAACGGTTCGCAGCTCAGTTACAGGGGGGACGTGCGATTCATGCGATTTTGGGCGCGCGCGGCAAATTGCGCGGCGAAATTCGCGATGATTCGAACAACTCCGGCGCCTATCACTAGGGCACAAACTTGAAGTAGAGTACTTTAGTAGGTTCGGACAATCTTACTAATCTAGTTTACTTCGAATTTGGGCCCCAATGGTAAACGCTGTAGTCGTCCAAATCGCCCCGAATTTCGCCGCGCAACTCGCCGCGCGCACCCAGAATCGCACGAATCGCAACACACCCCAGTTACAGTTACTTCAGATGCTATCGCGGAAACACTCGAGATTGTCTCTCCTACCAGGTCCAGCTCAACTTTATTTCACTAAGAAAAGTGGACTATGTTTTCCTATGCAATTGAAAGAATCCATCCTTATATGTTTCAAAAGCAAACCCTGCACCAATTCAGAGGAGCCAAACCGGCACTAGGAGCGCTCACCTGAGTTTTCATGATGATGTAATCGATAACATTTGGGAGATGGGGTGCTAACTTCTCAAAATGACTATCCAACAAAAGAGTCAACGATCGGCAAAGTTGCTTTTGGACTTCCTGAAAGGCAGATCAACATTCAATCATGAATAAGTAATTTACGGTCTTTATTCCAGAGGAACTATGTGTACCGAGTCCTGATCATGCGCCCGACCGAAGAGCTGTTGTAAGAAGTCATCAATCACTGCATTGATTGGATCGTTATTTATCATCAGGATGCTGTTTACCGAATTCATTGCCAACCCTCTGTAATTAAATAGGAATAAATGGAGGCTATAAAAAGCACAAAACTGGCAGTATCACCTCTCGAACTGCCATATAAATATAAATATAAATATAAATATAAAAACTACAAAAAAATACATATATATATATATGTGAAGAGTTTCGAGATTAGTACCTCATCTTAGGGCTCTCCGAGCTGAAGAATGACAAAATCTTCGGCATTAGTGGATGCACATGTTGTTCAGTATCTAGCCGGTCTCCAGAGTCTTCAAAAATCTTTTGAATCGCCCCCATCGAACCCTTAAACATTATGGTACACGACTTTCACATAGTACAAAAGCAGTTCAAAATGGAATTAGCTGCTCTGCGAGATGGACTCGCGAAAAATATATGTCAACTTCTTCCTGTTAAGGTATTGTGGAGAGAAAGAGGCGTGTAAGAAGTGCGGTCGAGATCGTAACACTTTCACCTCTTGCATGTTCGGATCCGGTTGATCGAGAAGATGTCCTAGGTAAGGCAATAGTGTCGGCCAGTGACCAACGCCATTCTCTTCCACGACTATCGTGGTTACTAAACAGAAAGATTCTTAAAACTTGCCCAGAAACAGAAAAGCAGCGTCTGGCCAAAAGAAGTCTACTTGTTCAACATTCCATGTTAACTTACCTACTATACCGACTGTAGCACGAATTAACGGACTTGGATCAGCTATACTAGCTAACGTATTTGTCTTTACGAACTCTCGCACCTCATCTGGATATTTCGACCATTGCGATCGCACATTATTTTTCAATATCAATCCAGCAAGAGATCTGCTAGCCTCCTAAATCGAGTGCCGGGTGTCAATAAAAAATGTACTCTTATTTCAAAGCAAACTCCTGCGCAGTAAAATGGTTGGTTGTAAAAAAAAAATTCACACAAAGCAAAACTCACTTGCTCTTCTTTCATACCACTAAGAATGTGTACAAGATAGCAGCAAAATGATTGATGACCATTGAGCATGTCGAGTTGTTGCTGCACATTTCGTTGCACCACTGTGTCTGTCGACTGAGAATGATGCAACAAATGCAGAACCTGAGTAAGTACAAATTTAAATGCAAGGAAAGTTCTAGCAAAGTCCTAGCAAAAATTAGAGTTAACATTCAATCTACTTTCAAACTACGCCGCACTAGGATGCCAACCCTAACTTCTTGTGCCCAAAACACAGCCGTCTACTGCCCTTTACTTCTAAGGTTTCTGCTCCGTGGCCGAAGACGGCGCAACGAATCTAGACAACTGTTGACAGCAGGTGGTCTCTAATAAAATATCGGTAAGTTGCAAAAAAATTGAGAAAATTCTTTGGGGCAATTTTTAACATGAAAGAAGTGTTACCGTGTGTTGGACAAAGAATATTCCGTTTTCAGGTCTTTAGAAAATTTGTGGACTTCCTCATCTTTACTCCCATAATAGCAAAAGGTGCTGAACTGCACACCGTGAAAATCGAAGCATTCAGTTTAACACGACTATTTCTATTTTCCAGGTTACCCCTTGTTCGAGACATTGACTCTCCTAAGCTTTTAATTCCAATAAACCATGTGAAGTTCTAACTATCAGACTCTACCATGACATCTTAAATTGCTCTAAATTCACACTTCACGTTAATTCTGGGTAATCCAGATTATGACGAAGAAGTGGAGGATAATATGGAAAATAGTGCGATGAACGCGAAGAAACTGCGTGAATTGGCGTTTCCTAAATGAAAAAAAGCTTCGAGAAACCGTTAAAAAGGGGGCTGGACAAGGAGACCAGAAATATGAAGAAGAATGGCGCGTTTATACTAGCTCTACAATGTGCGTTATTGCGTAAGTGTGGGCTCTGATGGGAATAGCTGACTACGGTAAGTGAAAATTCATTTACTCATAAGCATAAGTTAGCAAAAAACCCGAGTAACAGCAACAATGGCCAACCTTTTTCAGACGCTTGAGGTAGAAAATTAGAATAAGGATCCCAGCAGCAAGAAAAAACGGAGAATAAAAGAATAGGAGGAAAAAATAGCCAAACATATCAGTCCGGGCGATCCAGTAACGGGGTTCCCATTGTGCCTTAGCTGTTGAGTTTTGGGACTCGACAGCGTCTTTCCTGTTACCCTTGGGGCCCGAGGTTTCCTAATGGGAAAGCTCAGAAAAAATTGTTACCGCGAACTGTGCCTTCAAACTATCGGCGATACTTCATAATGACCGCACCTCAATATAAGGAAATATATAGGGGACTCTCCGGCGTGTGCGCGGTCCACGGAAATGAAGTTTCAGGGCGTGCCGGCTCTAACAGTTACCCCCATCAACAAAACGTTAAGGAATAACAGTAAGACGAGTAGAACTCGGGATAAACTGCAGCACATGTACTATCGAACCAAACCTTTGTGAAATAATCAATCGAGGAGTACCTACCACTGCTGGCAATGGGCCAGGAGAAACGCATGCGACACGCGCCGGAGGATATGCGATTCTTCATAATATACGAGACACTATTGTAAATCCGTGCATCACAGGCATTAAATGAAAAGCTCTCGTTTTGAGTCACAAACATCCAAGGGCGTTCCTCTTAGAGGAAAATGAATGCGGTCAATATCCGCACTACGCTATGCGAAAAGTTTTTGCGGAACGATGTGTACCAAGGTGGCGAGACGCGTGGTGCCAAAGAAATCAGGGAAACTCGGTTTAAACCAAGTAAACTTCTTCAGCTATGTGTGAACACAAGCTACATCACCATACGTTAAATTAGTCATTGACTACGAGGAGATCCCAAATGGGAGCGTCCACTCGTAGAGAACGCATACCGTATTTCTCAACCATTGCATCGAACTTATTTCCAGAGTTATGGAATGATTTCCAAACAGAACTATGATAGCAAATGTATAGTTATCATCTCAAAAGCACATTGATCATAAGGTTCAAATCTACCGTTGATTTTCGTTATTAGAAAGTAGCCTTGCAGAGTCAGCTTTTGAATGTAGCCCGATCCTCAGGAATGATAAATAATATGCTTCACTCTTTTCAACTCCGCTCTGTGAGAACTAACCCCAGGCTGTTTTACTGAAATGTTTGGGCGGTTCCGCGAGATCTTGAAGAGATAGGACGTCGGATTCGTTGCAAATTTTCATAACATAAAATTTGCGCCAGGAACTTTCAAATTTGTGTTAAACTTCTGTAAGGTTTTCCCGATCAGCCATGATCCAGTAATAATAATGGGCCAAGTGCATTTTCGCAGCCGGGGTGTATCTATGCAGCTTATCACACCTCTCCTTAATGAATAATTTTCGTCTAACCTTCCCATTATTTAATCTGGAGCATCCCCTCATTGTCACCTGAAGTGTGCTAAACATCACGATGTAGTCGATTTTCAGTTGCAGACCCGAAATTAAAATTAAAATTGATACAGAGCAAACGAATTGGAGCAGCGAATTACCATTCATTCCAGGCTATCCTCGAAGAAAAAACAGGGAAAGAAATACAACAATTGATCTTGGGAGACAACATACTTTGTTAGGGGTATGGGTACATACGTGCGTCTGAGGACGCGCGCGGCATTCATGGTTATTTTGACTTTGGCACCTATCCTTGGGGCATGAACTTGAAATGAAGTAGACGAGTATGATAAGCTGATTCTACCACTTTGGTCTACTTTAAATTCGACCCCCAATGATAGATACTAGAGTCGCTCAAACAGCCATGAACTTCGCCGCGCAACTTGCCGCGCGCTTCTTCGAACGCACGAATGTTCCGTCCCCCACCTCCCCCAAAGCCGTTAAGCTTCGTCTTCACTGCTGTCAGTTCTGCTGACAACTGAGACGCATATTAACTTTGACAACGGTTAATAGATGTAGAGAAGACGCTGCACAGCCCCGTTCAGAGAAAAATTTAACAAATTAATAACGCATACCCGAAATCTAGCCTATTCAAGCGTAGTGCATTGCATTTTTAAGCGCGAGTGCTCTCTTCAACTAAATAGCTCATCGACTCAAATGGGGACCGGTCACGCATCACATACAGTTACATCGACGAACACAATTTCTCACACTCTACAACAGACCATGGTCCTGCACATGTGCCAAGAAAGACTTAAAAAAAATTTCCTACCACTAATATGTCATACACTACCTGCGTAAGTTCTTCTTGATTCGGTTGCCATGATGTCATGGCTCACTATGCATATGGTGGACGAAGATGTCCTGAAACGAAAGCAGAAACATCCAACCATGGGAATCAAACATGAGACACGAAGCAGTGCATCACAACTAGCATAAACTAGCATTCACCACAAGTAGACCCCACTTGAAGCGTCGCAAACAATCCAGAGATACATTGAGACGGTATATCGCACCACATGAGGTCAGGACCCATTTGGACATCAATTATAAGTTTATTTTGCATTCAACAGGCAAATCAACAAATTGTAATAACAACGCTAACAAAACTATGTTCACATAGGCGAATCAAAGAACTAATAACTCGAGAACAGGTTAAGAACCTGCTCCCTATAATCTTATGAAAATTAGTACCGGTAACAAAAAATCTGATTATAACAATGTGCTACACTAACTGGCAACATATCAGGTCTGGCGTAATAAGTACGAAGAATCAAGACTCTTGAAACAATTTCCTGTATCAACATAAGGAAGAGCCTCGTAAACAAACCAAACCGATAAAACAACCACTTATCAACGTAATCATCCATACCAGAAGCAACTGATAGAACTAGCACAATCTATGACGAAGTTAGCCGCAAAATGGATCTAAACGAGGTGTCTTCTTGATCCTATACATAATTAGCCATTGCTCTCCTCAGCTTGATCAACACGCCTTTTGACACCATAAATTTCTTTCATCCTCATGTATTTCTTCCGATCAGCTTCTGTCACGGAGGGCCGAATGTTCGTCAGTGCCTTGAGAAAATGCTCCATTGCCACTGCGTCCACATGGTGGTCGTTTCCGAAAAGCCGAGCCTTCAACGCAACAATGGACGCTTCATGGACAAGTGCAGCCAAATCAGCACCGCTAAAAGAAACCGCAAGACAATATAGGAAATCCAGTTCATGACTTCACCACAAAGTCCACCCAATTCATTTGAACACGAGAAAAACTCACGTGAATCCGTCCAAATCTGGTAGGCGTGACAATTTGTCGAAATCTACATCAGGGCTCAACTTTGGATGGGTGCCGTTCTGAATTTTACGCCATTTAGGATGTTTTTTTTAATTTTTATTACATAGAGTGAGGAGCGAATATGATTTTAATGCAACGCTAGCTAATTAGTCCATTAACCACTAAATGCATTTATACGAGTTTCATACGTCGTAGCGGTGCCGAAACTGATCTGGGCGTATGATAATCAATCGTAAATCATAGTTTCGCTCCTATAGTTTGAGAGAAGGTCGACTAGTGAGAAAAACACGGCGAGAATGTTTCAGAAAACCGTGCATTATTACAACTTCACATGTCACAGATCTCCATGCCCACACTGTGTATGTATAGTGTAACACTCTACCAAGCTAACCTACGACGACCATAACTGGTTCATTTAGACTAGTCTATGTTTTCAAAACAAAACTCATGAAAAAAGTGAAACTGGATGCGCTCAGTTCATATTTCTTATATATAAACCTGTTCACGGTCCTTCTCAACATATGCAAAAGACAGTAGTCTATTTTCTGGTTTATTGCCTAAAATGTACGATCACTTCAGCCAAATTGACGTTGCAGACATCGGATACTTTGAATTCTTCTCAGCCATCCCGTGACCTTCTCACTGACCTAGCACAACCCAACTTCGATTGAATGACTCTGGCCATCTAAGTGAATACATTCAACCCAGCTGCTAAAGAAAGAACTCATGAAAACTAGTCGCAATTCATTAATAGCACACTTAGTTACGCGAAGTTTCGTGGCCTATCGCAGCCTAGCAACCATATAGGACACAAACTTGTTCTCAAGATCTTGAAATGAAGCCAAAACGCAGTAATACCTTCGTAGTTTTCCTCAGAATGTCAGCACGATCACTAGGAGACGGGAAGTCCACAAAAAGGATCTTGTCAAGACGACCCGGACGTAAAATAGCAGGATCAACAATGTCTAAAAAAATAAATAAAGTGCCAGGCGCTGCACTAGTACACAAAGAAGTAATGTAATGGAATCGAATACAAACAGAGTAAGGTCAATTACCAGGCCTATTAGTTGCGCCAATAAGGAAAACCTGTTTTCGAACCTCGACACCGTCCATCTCGGTTAATAACTGATTGACCAAACGCGATCCACCAGAAGTCTTAAACAAGTTTGCAATTCCTTTTTGGATACTTGTTTGCAAACGAGCACTTGAAAAGTTTCCAAGAGTTTGACCGCAATCGAAACTCCATTCGAGAGGGACTAAGGAATAGGAAACACCAATACAACGCTTTTCCCTTTTCCATTCCACTTGGCCCCTACATTACTCTTCCACCCTCTTTTCTCATTATGTCGCTGTCTTTATACTGCCACTACTCGCACACCTCTATTCTCGATCAATCATTGGCAGGAGTGACTTCGACAGGGAATTTTTTATAAGAAGAATACTGCATCAAAATTCATAAATTTACCTCGTTCTGAGACCTCTTCGGACATAGAGCATCAATTTCGTCGAAAAATATAACGCATGGTGACGAATCTCGGGCCCGTTGAAACACTGTCCGAACAGCACGTTCGCTTTCTCCAACATACTGTAAATAGAAGAAAAAGTTGAAGGAAGAACATTTTTTACAGGTAATGGCGAAAGCATTTTCATGCTCTACTTTTCAAAAACGATAGAAGCCAGTTTGTTTAGAGTATTTTGCCACTTCAACCTATTGCGGAAGTGATCTCTTCCGCAGGGCACGAAATACGTCAGCCAAACAACCCTACTCATGGATGAAAGGAACCTATTCACGGAACATATTTGAAATCTTCAAAAAAGTCTGTGCAAAGGGAAACCAAGTTATTGCCCACAACAAGACATCATATTGAACCAACTTTAGCAATCCCCGACTTTCTTCCCAATAACTAGTAATAGCGTCAACGCGATGTTATTGCGAAGAAAAACCAGTTGGAGGTCGTGACAAGCTATGGTATCGAATGAATGATAAAGAAAGTTTGATGGCAGGACACACTCCTGCTTCAATGCATTGTTCCATATGAATGAAACAAAGCCACTGGAAATTTCACAAAACACGCATAGCATAAAAACAAAAGAAAAAATTGCCATCATATAGCGAAATCATGGACAAATGGGTAAAAAAGCGCCAGAGGCTACGAGAAACTATTAACTCGCTACATTCAGATCTTTTTGTTGGCTCTTTTACCTCGATATGAAGTAGCATATGATCCCAAAACAACAGAGCGAGTACAGTACAAAGCAGAGCTCACACTTTGCTCATTACATACTGTCGGCATACTGCTTCGTAGAAAAAAAAGAAATCAATACACGGCGTCATATGTAAATTAAACATAAAGGTTGGGGTTTGCAAAGCAGGGGTGAAAATAACTCCATCCAAGAATAGGATTTTCGGGAAAAACACAATCTTTGACAAAGACGGACATTCTCCTCTCTACTCCCAAATATACAAATTCATGACGTTTTCATTTTACCACAAGTTTTTGGCAAATCAGCACAGCGACGGCTGGTCATATGAAGTTTTCAAATTAGACAAATGAATCACACACACAACCGAAGCAGCCAAACGTAGATCGCCTTATGTACTCAGTTTACCCCGCAATAAGATTCTACCTTGCTTCTAATAGTCAGTAACTAAGTCACCGTCACCCACTGTACATCGATTTGTTCGGTTGGACGCTCTTGTCGTAAACCACTGTGATCTAGCCAGCTCTCTTCGCCAGAAGGATGCAAAGCAACCCATTCTTTCCGAGCTTCCGTGAAGAAAATTGACTACTCTCGTTCTATGCTCGTCTTAAAGACAATCGTCACAGCCCAGCGGCCACTATAGAATCACCAACCCTGATAATATACGATTTATAGACATGCACGATAGGACTTCTGATCTTCGATTGCTGAGGGACCTTGCAACATTGGGTTTATCTGGCTGTATACTGCGAGCGCTGATTTTTCCACAGCGCATCCATTGAGCTTGGCTGCATGTTCATTCTACTTGCAAAGATTCCATGACTCTGAGAAGTGAGTTACAAGGACGGCAGAATCTAAAAGAAGAGGAGGAACCGAGTATTTTTCAATTTTTGCGATTTCTCACTCGATTTTCTTGAACACACCCATTTCGCAGACCTTTCGATTACTTAAAAAAAAAACCCTTGAAGAGCAATTAAGGATAGACTTTTCAAAAACACTCCTAAACGCTATCTCTGCTTTCCTTAACACTTTGAATCTTCAGTTTTCCCATTCAAAAAGATAGAACCAACTGCGACAGCACCTTCTTTGCGTTCTTGAGAAGCCATTATCGGTCTGAAGGTCGATTCATAGATCTTCGAAAGACGTGAAAAACGAAAAACCAGCAAGGTTGGCATCCACCATGCCGCAGTGCGTTATTTATGGTTAATCGCCGCTCTTTGGGGTCGACTAATGTCTGAGCAATTGTCAGGGAACCGCTCCCTTACTTCCCGTTGAGCTAATTTTTCAAAACAGTGAAGCGTTGAAGCCCATCTTCCAATTATTCAAGAACTACTGTACCTCAGGGCTGAGTCGATTTCAAGGAATTTTTTAATTTCGTCATATTATGAAGGTAGAGAGCGGAAATTTGAAGAAGGGAAAGTTGGGAAGAAACAAGGCTTTCAGCTATAGTCGTAGCTCTGTCAATCCATAGTTAAGATTCCGCCTTACAATCCAAGTTCAGTTCACTGGTCCCGAACTCGAAACGAATGGCTGTTTGAAGACTGAGGAGCTGACGTAATTATCGCTGCTTCCTCCAGAACAAAATAGCGCTGCAGGCCTCCAGGATAATTTATCATTTTCCATCCGCAGCACATCTATTAATATAAGATCTTTGAAGCGGTAATTCACAAATCACAAAAGGTTATAGTGAAAGAAGCATTTGAGGAGCGTAAAATCTGCGATCTCGAAACAGCTTAACCGCATTAGGCAGCAAACATAGATGAAGATTCTACGAGAGTCCATGACCACTTCGGCACACGATGAGATTGCAAAAAAAAAATGTTCTAAAGCTAATAGAGAATATGCCACCTCTTCTCAACTATCAAGCCGAGCTTTCATCCAAAGCTCCATTTAGACAGATCAGTGAAATGTGATGCCATTTGCTAAATAATCTTGTAGAATACTTTTTAATTCGCTGTACATAAATCGAAAGAAAAGCTCTGTTGTGAAGTGTTCAGAGTATCACTGAAGGAAGCTCGATCATTAATCTTCACGGAAAGATTGGTGGTGAATCATTTCGAATTGATCCTCATTTCATATAATAAAAAATGTACACGCCTTCATTTGTTACACGACCTTTGACCCTTGTCATTGAGCTGTAGCAGTATTATTTGACATACACTAAACGGCTACCATTTCTTTCAAAATTAGTCATATCACCCCAAATCGATACCCGCCGATGTTTATTATCGGACGCCACAGTTACCCATAATACACATATCTGGAATAAGAACATTTTCCCCAACACCCAGAACGCATTTTCACGCCTTTTACCTCTTACTCATGATTTAAGGAAAATCACAGTTGCGATAGTGTCCTGATTATGGCCCTCTTGTGCGAGCAACATCATGTAAAAAACGTGATTTTCAGGGGTCTTCAATACTACTCCAAGTAGACGCTTCCTCATTCGATAACCAATATAGAAGAACTTTGCGTTAGAGTGACACTGACACAGGTATAGAATTTCGTGAAGTGAAATATCAAAGAAATATACATCCGACGTATAAAAATGGATGCCACAAAATATGGCTTTTAAAAACAGGTTTGAAGGGTAAGTTCTGGCACAGAATTCGCCACACTCCATTTCATACACTGGGAAGCAGTCCTTTTTATTTATGCGCAAGCCATCTTTGCCGATAACTTAAGCGGATAAATCACAAGTTTAGGAAAAGTGTTTTCTCCAACTGATATTCAGTCCTAATATAGGCCTATAAGTACGGCTTTTTTCTCAAGGCAAGTCTTCAAGCTACAGTACTTACTACTCTAATCTAATAGTAAGGACTTAATATCAACAACTTGCTGCAAAATATTCTAAAAGAAATCATTTTCAATTTCTTGCCTTTCAACCTATCCCTTACACATCTTCCCAATAACAAATCCAAACGCCAGCCAGCTGATATCGATTCCTTTTATGCGCAATATCTTGGCGTTTACGAGTCATGTCTTCTCTCCTATTATGGCCACCAGCGCCCGCCCTCTCCCTCGAATTCCTCTCAAAATGACCCCTCAGAACGAACAGAGCATGAGAACGCTTTCAACCCTCAACAAAATATGAGCAGAGAGAAATGCATACATAGCGGACATAATTTGTAGGAGAGCACTCATCATATGCAACTAATTATTGGAAACACTTACCATATTGAGAAGTTCGGGACCTTTTACACTAATGAAGTTCATGCCAGTCTCGTTTGCTACAGCCTTCGCTAATAGCGTCTTTCCGCAACCAGGTGGACCACACAACAGAATGCCTTGAGGTTTGGCAGTGATGCCGAGTAGCGCAAAGTCCTCAGGCCGTTTCACCGGGAACTAAAAAGTAATGAGTTTTCCGACAGGCCATATAGCCATTAATGGATAAGCTCTCATTGATATTTCATTTATATCGAATCCTATTAAGTAACACCTGTTCGATATGGGCACTCCTGCAAATAAAACACTTGCATATACACGGCCTTATTGATCTTTTGAAACCACTGAACCAGAGTTTTTGGCAGGTTCTGCTTTGAGCGGCTCGTATTCAGGGACTACAGATAACGCCTCTGCTGAGCAAGTCATGAGTTCGCCCATTCCTCTCGAAAGTTCACATACTTCATCATTTTAAGATGCACAGATGCTTTTCAGGTGAAAATGCTCCTTATATTACTAATGCGTCCAAAGTTCTCATTATAGACTGTCACTGATGAGTATGAGAAAATGCCAGATTTAACGCATAACCATAAAACAGTTACATGAACGTTTGACTGCCGTCACCAAACTCAGGCCACGCAATTGGGTTGAAAAAGGGCAGTCGCAGGTCCTTGTTCACGTTATAGAGTTAGTCTCAAGTTCAAGGTAAGCTTACAGCACTGAGAGCTCCCAAAACCATTCAAATCAGATACCTTAAATGTAGAACGCTTCAAACTTCTTGCACATGTACAATGGACCCTATGACTAGACGAGATACGAAATGCATCTGATAGTTGGTTCCATAGCTTTATGATTTCAATAAAATACGCAAATTACATTAATGCGTCAATCAGGAAGCAGAGTGCGTATTGCAACGCAACACATGTAAAAGCAAAACCCATTCGAAATGAATGGTACACACTATAAAAAGATTTCTATTTACATTGGTTCTCACCCACTGACTCCACGCTCTTTGCAAAGTCACTGTCATAATTGTATAAAATCTCGGAGACCTAAAGTTTTTCCGTCCCAAGGTCATGATTACGTACCGATTTGAGACCCTATAAAATCTTTGAAAGCCTCAAATCCCACAATGGTTTCTCATCACAGATAGCCCAACCTCCAATTTCCAGAAAAGAGTGGGAAAGCGATATTTTCTCATTATTGCATGCCTCATAATTATTATTATGAAGAATTTCGCAGACGCAAGCGATACGCAGCACCTTCATATGCAGTGCCTACAGGGTGCGGAGTTTTAGGGACTTCTTAGAACCTGTTCCGAACCTTAAGACGTACAAAAGACGTACAATTTACTACCGTATTTCTAGGAACTCTTATTTTATCGCCTATCTCTCTGTACTATGTCGCTGCCTTACTCATATAAAATTGCACTTCGCTGGTTGTTAAGGAAACGATTTTCACCGCACTGAGTTACAATGATAGCAACTTGTTGGATATCCAACTTGCCGCTCAGCAAGATGGTTTCACATAACTGTGATAAGAGAGATTGAATGTTATACATAGTGTAGGGTACAAGAACCCACAAGCCTCTACGTGCTACTATTTGTTATATGAAGAAACCAAAAAATCTGTTGAGCCGCTTACTCTTTCAGTCCTTTTCGATTTAGTCTATTTATCCCTTTCTGCAACTTTCGCCAAACCCACAGTTCCACTTGCGAAGTTTTCACTCAATGGAGTGCCTCTGTGGTGATCCCTCATTGTTTTGAAGCGAATATACGCACGCGCACGAACGCGTCGCAGCATATTCGGGAAGGCAGCCGTTTGACCCTAGTGCATCTGTCCTTTACCAGGCTAGCCAACGCTTCCGCACTTGTACCAAACAACAAGACTAGACATGCAGGCCTCATAGGCTAGACACGCAGAGAGTGGGCGAGGCTGCCGACGAACCTGGACCTTCCCTTGCACTACGCTCGTTCAGTCTTCCCAATAGGCAGACAACGAGGGTAATCCAATAAGGTCATGAGCGTATAGCATTAACGACTAGCGACAGATGTGCAAAGTCCCCATAAGTCACCAACTATGCAGTTAAAGAGAACATAATAACGCTGCAGTGCTGACAAACCAGTAGCCTACACCGATTTCTTGATTTTATAGGAATGCTTCAGTTCTTAAAAGAAATTTACCAAAATGTTCCATTCTAGTTCTTGTCGAATATCGTTTAGAGCTCCTATATCCTGCCAAGAGACGTCAGGTACTGTAGCGAAACCTTCTCTCTTTGCGGAAGGTTGAACATTTTCCAGAGCCCGTTCAAAGTCCGACATTTTTACGCGGAATCCTCCCAACTTCTCCACTACACTCGGATCGTCATCTGCTTGTAACCAAATCAACACTGAAATTGTAGTATTATAATCGCCGTCAGACTTTTCGTTGCACATGTCACTACCTTTATCCAATTCCTCCTTGATCTCCTCATTGGTCATTTGGCGCTTCGAAGAATTATGGTTCACAATTGTATCAAATATCCTGGACAAAAAACACTTACTCAAAATCATGCCTATAACCAGTATAGTAAGATCACAAATATAACCTGTTGATCGCACACTTCGCCGCTTCCCTGACTAAAGCATTTAAGTCAGCACCAACATAGCCGGGAGTTATTCTGGCTACCATTTTCATGTCAACGTCTTCATCAAGAGGAAGTCTAAAAAGGGCCATTAAATAGACTTAATTACTGACCTGATCTCCCAAACAGGGCAATCCCAAACTAACATATAAGCATAATAGGTATAAATAGAACAAAATAACTACAAAAACCAACTTGCAAACTGTGTGAAGAATTTTTTGTCGTGCCTGCTCATCTGGAATGCCTAGCGAAATTTCACAATCAAATCGACCAGCCCTACGCAGGCCACCATCCACAGCATCGGGACGACTTGTTGTTCCAATCACAAGAACATGTCCGCATACTGGAAACCGTGGTTAAGACCGACTGCGAGAGATGCTTGAAACAACGAAAAATAATAGCTATAGGTTGCTCGGGTTGATTTCAATAGAGAAATCGAATAATAGAGACCTATGAACTCATACAGGCAGTAAAAACGGAGGCTGTCTTTCCTCAACTATTTGAAGGAAATTGGAAAAGGATGCAAATGAGAAAAACCGTGTAAGATTTTCAAAGAGGGCTAAGATCAAGTGTAAGGCTAATTAAGCATACAGCAGAGCGCACCGGTGCCAAGCGCAACAAACTTCTGCTACGTTGTTGAAAACACCAAGTGATCAATGAATATGCACTACAAGATTCGAGATGATTATAGACTAAACATACCATTGGTTTCGTCATCATTCAGGACCACTTCGCCATCGCCTGTGACAGAAATTTTCTCGCTAATCGACAGTTCTCGTTTTGGACCAAATAACTCTGAACTAGTAATGTGCAAATTTAATTTGTTCAATACGAAGATAGCAAATACTGTAATTGGTAAAAGTACCGTCTAATGAACAGCTCAACTGGCTAACTATCCTGCGCTCCATTTCTCGAGTAGCCGTTTCACGTCTTGGTGCTATTGCATCGATATCGTCAAGGATCTAAATCAGCGAAAATCGAATTCGCGCATTATAATGTGATTAACATTGGAAAAACTGCAAAAAGCTGTAGCAATGAAAAAAGAGCCTGTGACTCAGTAAACAAATGCATTAAATGGCCAAGTCGTTATTTACCGACGCACCAAAACACAAGGTGCGTTCTGCTTAGCAATGACGAACAACTGACGAATCTTCTCCTCAGTATCGCCAGACACACCCGAGACCAGTTCCGTCGCGGCAAGTTGTATCATTGGTAGATCGAATTGCCCTGCCACCGCCTTAAACAAATCACTATTTGAGAGAGATATTCATTTCAAGTGCCTTTAGAATGGTGAGGGCCTTTTGAGGTATGGTATGCAAAATAGGTAAAACGACCAGGAAAACCCAAAGGAAAAACGCTAAGATTCTCAACTCACCTGAGCGAAGAGTGTTTTTCCACATCCAGGCGGCCCATGAACAAGAAATCCTTTCGGTGGTTCGAGTCCAAGCATATTGTAGGTGTGTGGACGTTTCATGTGCATAGCGAGGCGGCAAACTTCCTCAAAATGGACACAAAATGATACATGAAAATAATAAGATTAAATAATGGGTCAGAATAATAAAAATATTCTAACCAGAAACTGGCGATCGCATCCACCTAACTGCTCAAATGTGACGGTCGAGGATCGCGGCTGCACAGCAAAAGTTGGCACATTGCCTATCCCTCTGGGAGCAGTATGGGCAAATGACGAAGTAGCCTGAGTATAGAAGTCACATGAAGGAAAACAGAACAAATGAGTGAAGTAGAGCCAAATCAAAATGAATGACGACATTACTTACAGCATGCTTTACAGCTCCACTTCGTATCTTTCTCAATGAGGCTGAGTGAGTGCCCGGAACAGACAAATTGTCGCATTTCCTGTTGTTGCTGTACAAATTCAATAGCGATTTATTAGAGCTATTCGTTCCCTTAAAAAAGCTCAATCGGACGTAAATGAGCAAGGTAAGTTTTACCTAGCAATTCTTACCTTAATTTTTTCGAATATTTTATCATTATCTTCATCGCTAGAAATGCAGATGTCTTCAACTTTCATTGTAGATGAATTCAAGCTGAGAAACGAATTTCATTCAACAGGAAAAATGCGGGAAGGGTCTGTAAGTTTTACCTTTGAGCCTTTCTCTTTCTATTGCTTTTTGACGGTTTCGCTGCACTGGTCAGAGTGCTCTCAGATTTTCTTTCAAGTATCACAGCGACATCATCATTGTTATCAGTACATGTTACTTGCAGGTCCTCGGGCTTATCCTTGATTTTCAGTCGATTGAGCCCTTCACGTACTATTGCAACGAATGGCTTATATTTCTTCCGACTATATTCACTAAAAAAAAATGGTTAAATGGAAATCGTTTTCGAGAATGGGTGTCGAAAAGAATTTTGAAACATTTTAGAACGAAACCGTTGTCTGCGATGGAACGTATCGTTCCCACCACATCAGGCCAGTAAAACACTAAAGATGGAAGAACAGTTTGTAAATTCACACCTTCCCCTACAGCAGACTTTGAGGTTTCAAATGTCTAAAAGGATAATAATGGATCGGACAGGTTTAATTTTGCAATAGATGAGCCCTGCAACATTTTCGGTCTGCTATCCAATACTAATATGTATACAAAAATATGAACAATATCTGTCAAGCTGATGATAAATTGATAACAAGCAGCTCGCTAAGGAACACTATGCAGGGAATCTCCGGGATGACTACAACTCTATGGAAGTGCCCGCTTCGACCAACCAGCTAATACTCGTAAAATTAACCAAACTGCTTCTTGCCCCCTAGCTTTGTGAGGTGAACTGATAAACTCACTGATATTTCCTTTGCAAATCAAAGGCGACGTCTTCAGGACGAAAAAACTTTTGATCTGGGAAATTGAGGCAGTGCTACAAAAAAGAGAACACGTTAGCGAAGATACATACACTTTTACTAGTTCATACCTCTTTAATTCTCGGGAGCAACTGCGGATCACTAACGAACCCATCACTTTGTTTACTTTTCATCTCTCATTAAAAGCTGCTGTAAAAGTCACATGATCAAAAAAAGTTCCTTCTTATTACAGAAATGAAATATGAAACAATAGGAGAAAACTAAGAAACTCACGAAACAACGTGTAGCCGGTCAATAACGCAAGAAAAGAGGTAAATAATATTTATTTTCCTTACAAGAACAATGCAAAACATTACGACGAGAATGGAGTCGTACAAAAGACGATGTGACGTGATCTATATGTTTGTAACCAATAATATTTAACGTATCATCATTATACCTTGAACATCATCAGACATCGATTTTCACATAGATCAGCGGCAACTAGTGAGGACCACAAAAACAACCATGTTTAGCACAGCTCGAATCGAACGAACTTTACAGTCAGTCTCATAGTAGATCGCCGACAACTACAGAAGAAAAGGAGAAAAAGAAAAATTCGACACATGATGGGCAATATTAAGATGATAACTGTGTCTTACAATAATGATAAGTTATAAGGGAACTTGTGTTCGAAAATTTGGATAAAGAGACAAAATACAATGTTTGAAACTCATAAGGAATATGCTTTCGAAAGTAGACGAGATGGGAGTTTAGATGCTATCAGGGTGAAATCTAAGAGAATTAAATGCACCAAATACTTTATACGATTAACGTTATTCGATTTCTTGAAGGCCTTGAAACGCAGTTGGGAATAGGAAGTCACTGCGATTGACAATGAATGAATAGAAACTTGGAAGGGAAAGCGTTAAATGGTTAAATATAGTCATCGAAAAACAATCCTATTAATGGTGCCACCGCAGTACAAGCGACTGAGTCACCGAGTTTGGAAAACCAAAGTTTTCCAAACATGGCCAGACGCTTTGTGTGGAAAGGAATTAAAATACGGTCGTAAAAATTAGCGAAGTAGCGCGGTTGCAGAGCTGTCATTTTAGGATTCAATCTCTTACAAGAGAACGCCCACTAAATTAAGTTCTCTCGCAAAAAGTGAGTAAGGTTAGAAAATATGTTGACCAATTGAAACACAGAGTCCTGCATTATAACTTACAAGGAAATAATTAAGGAAAATCGTTGGCAATACGCTACAAGCGGTTCCGTCGAAAGACCTACGTCAAGAGCGCAGCAACGCGTTCTAGCCATTACATGCAAAACATGGCTAAAGCATTTTATTGCTCGCGAACTGGAGGCTTTGGTCCGCAGCAAATGCTTATGCGAACATCATAGGGTTCGGTATCAGAATTAAAATCTCCAAAATCTGATCCGGCCCAAACTCCTCACAAAGAATGAAATGAAGTTTGTCGCGCATATCACAACCAGCTTTGCAACAATAAATGGCACATTTGCACCACATGCAAATGGCAATCAAATAATCTTGTTTTCGTAAACTGATGTATGGAAGAAACGTTATTTGAACGTAAGATGGCCACTGCCTGCTCAATGCTATCGAAGTAAATACAAGTGCAGCAAAACCCAAAAATGAAACGCGCTGCGTCGCACTTGATTAGCCTCGACATTGTTGTAAGTAAGAGAACACAAAGTATATAGGAAGAACCATTACCGTTCCACTCTAAAAAGTGATATGAAAAAACCTAGGAAGGTATTTTCAGTGCATGATAGTGAAAAATGGTAGTGAAGATGAGATTGGTTTAAACTATATGGGTGTGCTATACAGTATGGACCTAAAGTCAAAATTTTCTAGGAGAACCAAAATTGCGCTTGCGTGGTGCAAGGTTCAGGAGTATCACAATGAAAAATATATCAAATGTTTTTAGCACAAAAAAAAAACATGAAATTGGGAAGACAAAAGGACTTTCGCAATAAAAGTAGACGCGATTGTACATTAATGGAAAACCGCGAGATTACATAACTCACAAACGATATATTGTGCATGGGGTGTGATGAAAAAGACAGGAATGCACGGACTTAGAAATATGGCTGATCACCAGATGATATTTCCTCCTTCGGCGCAAAATCATCTAACAAGCCCTGCTTGATTTTGCTCACTTCGATGTCGTCCTGAAATATGTGTCTACTAAGCTGCTCGTCTTGCGTGTTGAAATGTAAGCCCAACTAACTAACAAATGTTTTGCACTACCTCTTTCGAACAGAAATGGAGATGAGTTTTCAACTGCGTTATTTAGATGATAATATGAGAATTTCGGGTAAGAGTTCATAAAAGTGGGCAGACAAAAAGGGGATCTTGCTGGCCAACACTCACGCGGGGTGCGTGGTCAGACTGTTATCAAATATTTCGAAAGAAATAAATTTAGGGTAAAAGAATTTTATCATATCATCCTCCACAGGAAAATACAAGATTCTCAAGTTTAATCGGCCTGCTAACAAACTGGTTCTGTGTTTGAGGCTACTAATAACTTATGTTTATAACTAGCTATACCATTTAGAGAAGCAACCCCAAATTACCGATATCAAAAAAATTATACACACCTAGAGCTATTCCCAAAAATTGTATTCCATAGAAGTAGAACCTCCGTTTTTTTATGAAACGAGGGGGTCACGCTACAATTAACTAGTGATGAGCTCACTTATGTTGAATTTTCATAGATCGTCATACGCATTATTGTAACAACATTTATAATTAATAAATGAAAGCAATTCCACTCATCATAGATCGTGATTTTGATTGATGTGAGTGATGAAGTGCCTATCACTCAGATTCTATCATCGGTGCTCGATATCACCGGCTACTATTGGCCGAATCAAAAAAAAAAAAGCTTGAGAGCAAAAAAAAAAAAAAAAAAAAAAAAAAAAAAAAAAAAAAACAAAACAAAACAAAACAAAACAAAAGGAAAACAGAGACGAACTTTAGTGCTCTGTTGATCCATTAGCTCAGCTCCACCAGGTACAGATGCGGGTTGCATGCTATGAGCTGATCCTGGAGGAGCCGGCGTTCCACCATTCACACCTCCTCGTGGAGTCGAGGCAGGCGACTGCTTCAGTTCTTCACCATTCAGCAACCCAGTTAACGGTCCTCCTTCAGGACCACCAGGACCTGGACCGCCCATTCCTCCTGGTCCCATACCATTACCCATGGTTACTGACGTATCTCCCATGCCAAACTGTAAAATCAAGTATGGACTTTTCTCGTGAAATCTGTTGCACGACAAAAGTAGTTGTAGCGGAAGAGAATAGCATAAAAAATGACCAAACATTCAAAGCATCGCTCCTACTGCAAGCTGCACGAACTTTGAAACCGTAACAAAACTGCTACCGCTACCACTACTTAAGAAGTACGTTTTGCACAATACAAACAAATCAATCCATAAAACCTACAGGCATAGCAGTTGAGCTTGATGGCATACCGCTCATCATAAATCCGTGTGGATCGGCTGCGCCAGCCGGTGGCATTCCAGGAGATGACATAGACATGCCGACGGGCGCTTGTGAACACATCACACCGCCACCATTTGGCATCATGCCGGCGCCTGGAGGAAAAGCTTGTCCTGGAGAATCCATGAATGCTCCACCCGGCGGTGCACCATACCTCATTCCTGTAATAGTTTTTCATTAACCCGAAATACCCTAAACCTAAATACCGAAACAGAAATCTAGGAACGCAATGTGAACAGTTATAGACAAAGCATCAAGCCAACAATACCCTGAGGAGGAGGCGGTCCGCCTGGCGCACCCGGTCGCATTCCAGCAGGTGCAAAGGAAGCAGGGGGCATGCGCATTGCTGCATTCGGTGGCATCCGTTGACCAGGCATTGCTCTGGGATCGCCAGGAAACATCCCAAAACCGCCAGGAGGCATGGCACCCGGTGGACATCCGGCCCTTCCTGGGAAGCGGCCTGGGAATCCAGGTCCTCCTGGATGACCTGAAGGACAATTCTTGAAATTACAGTAAGGGGTGAAGGATACAACACTGAAAAAAGGAATGATCATTACCATCCCTGCACTGACCTGGCATCATACCCTCTGGTCCAGGCATTCCCATTCCTGGCCCACCCGGAAACTGAAAAAAAAATGTTTCAATGATCTCTTTACAAGTACCATTATTGTAAGGTTAATTAGCATAGAAAGTATGGGGCTTATTCGAACACGTTTGAATGTGACTTTGAAACTTCATCATAGAGAAGCGAAAACGAGAAAGAGCGTCGAAGTTCGCATAGGTTCTCTAGAAAGAGCGATTGGAAGTGTTAAATTAACGAAGAAAGAAGTCTACGACAATTCTTGGTAAGAATGTAAACTTTAATTCAAAAAATCTTTTCTCCTCCGACTTTACTTAAGATGGTGAAACTCATGGAATTTCAAAGCTTCTAATTAAATGCATCAGTCAATGAAAATGACCGATTTTCCAAAAAAAATGAAGAAAAATTAGCCTTGCATCTACTTCAAGAATCATGAGCAAGCTGGCGTGATTGCGCATAATTAATGGCGCCCAAAGATTAAATGCAGGAAAACTTTCACGATGACCCGTTATCCCGGGTACAGGTTTTAGGTGTGAAAAATTTTCTCGAAAAGTCATATAACAGAGTAACTCCAGAAAACGCGCAATCTAAGGGTGTTCTAGGTCTGTCTGGCTACTTACCGGTTATGCTGATGTCGGTTTTTTCAACCACGAATTCAAATATTTACGTTTCCCTTTCCCACTACACTTGGCGTCAGAATTTGCTCCTCTATGCTACAATAAAAGCACTCCAGGATTATTGCTTCGATTGAAAGCGAAGTGTAATTAGACCTACGTATTGTTTTTCTTAACATTCAATAATCAGCCACTAAAGCCTTTCCTTCACTCATTGACTCGACCCCCGTACGCCCTCATTCAGCAGGCGCCTTCCTGTTTTCTCCGAATCCGGCTTCATACTGAGAGTGCGCAAGTCTTGAAAACACGCCTGTGTTTGTTCCGTGCCTCTCTGAGGGCGGGCCCTTACAATCTCCTCCTCATCTCTCCTTATATTTCTCCCGTTGCCCCAATACGCTCGATCCCGGCTCACCGTCTGATGACTCGCCCACATCTATACGCCACTTGGTAATCTTTGCATAGGTTGCCACAATATGCCTAAGGCATAAAGAAGCAGCAAAGCGCGCAATAACAAGCAAAAATAAAGAAAAACTGATTAAGAAAGGCGAAAAGGCAAGTCAAACTGGATGAGCATGGTTTGTCATGGAGATCATGCCTCCCTACTTTCAGTCCATCAGCGACTAATCACAACATTTGGAGCACATACGCCATTCAACAGAGCAAAGACAAAAGCTACTAGTCATGGCCACAAACACACTCCCAATTCTCTGATTTAAGCCTAGTATTGCGCCAAAACATAAGAAAGTCCAAAGCCATCTTCAATACCGAAGAACTTCATCTTTGAGGCCCTTTGTATCCATGATTTAAGAAAAAAACACCCATTCAATTGCAGAGAAGCTCCCCCTGAAACAGAAAAAAGGCAGTTTTTGCTATATCACTTGATGTCACAAAGCATCGTCGCGACTTCACTATAAAATCTGCCACAGGGAAGAACTTCTAATTCAAGGTAAATAAAGTATCCCTTTTAGTAAGATTGGGTGCTCTCCAATAATTTCCTGTTCAAAAGTAATCCATTTCTTTACGCTACAAAGGATATTCTAAAGCCTTTTGTTCCGAATTTACGCGCCTTCGCCCCAATGAATACCGTGCAATGGATTTTTGAGACTGTTGTCGAAAGAGGTGGAAAAATTAGCTTGAAAATACCCAGTTTCTATCGACGCTGGACGTCGAACATATCCACACGATATTGCTGGTCTCATCAGAGAACAATGGCTCAGCAAACTATGCAAGAAAGTTAGCCCAGCACAAGCCAAAGCAGGAAATATAGAGAAGATGGAAAGTAGATATGCCTTCCCTCCCACCTACTTAAGATGCCGCCTATGGCCCAAAATGTGAAGTTGTACGAACTTGTTGTTAACAAAAGAATGCTCAACTCTTCAAGAATCCTACTCTGCGACATTTTTCTAACTCATTGTTATTGTCCTTTTTCCCCACCAATGGAAAGTTCCACCGTTTTTTTACATCTGCTTTTGAAGACATGCAAAGGTTACTCATAAGCCGAAATCCCAACAACTATCCCAATCCCAACACCTCACGAGAGTGAACCCTATCTTGATCATTATTGATATTTTAGTGTGATATCACACTCACCATGAGCGCAAATCATGTATAAACTTCAAAGTTTTGAAAACTCTGGAGATTCGTTAAATATCACTGAAAAGTAATGCCTATGAAGCTCTTATTCATCATTATTGGCGCGTCCCGCATCTTTCACGTTCACTTAGCGGCTCCTCGTTGTCCTCGTCGACACGACCTTATTCGCCAGTATTGAAATTGCGACCTATATTACGCGCCGATAAAAAACACGCGCAGGTCGTTCGACCCCTTCCTCGTCCTCTAGCACGAAATCGAATGACTTCAAACATAACCATGTTAATATGAACGAAAGAAGCAATTGGTCATTGTAGTGAACAGACACATAAACTAATTCGTCAAACATGCGCTATTAAATTCGCAATCCACGTCGTTTTAATTATTATAAGACTCGCTAGACTCTTTTGTAACTCTTATCCATCTTTGAAAAAGATTCAAAAGCAGTTTCACAACGTTGTTAATCTTAAAATGCTAGCATTTTCATCGGAACACTCGTCTCACTTGTTGTCAACGTCGAACCCGGAACGCTCACGTCCTCCCCACAACTGACCGTGCTCTACATCTCTGACTACCACGTCTGACTTACCCCTCAACTGCGTGCGCTGTGCCACCCTCTCCGTCTGGCACTCTCACTGCTGTTCACCATGCTCATTGTCGCATTGCGCGTCTATTACCTCAAGATGCAACCTATCGCCATCTCAAATCCGCGGCGTGATGACAACCATTTGAACAATGGATGGAAAAAATGGAACTACACTAGTACAATCAGAAAAAATCACGAAAAGAGAAAAAAGCATATCAATGTTAATGAAAAGCAATAAAAAGCGAGGGGAGCTTTACGATCCAATGAACTTACCCCAGGACCGTGCATTCCATTCATCATCGGTCCAGGTGGACCAAAACCACCGGGAACAAACCCCTGAAACGAGTGACTGATTGTTCAATCCTATAGTGACCATACCAGCATCTCTAAAGCTCGCTTAAATATAATGCACGTACAAAGTCATGAAAAGCTTTGGCTTCCTGCGTTGATTGGCCGTCGGGCCCGTCTCGTCGTTCTGGAGCTGCGCAATAAAGATCCCAAAACAACCTGAAGATTATCACATGGAACTGCGAAGTTAAGATAAGAAAAGCTCGATTGGAAGAAAAACTGAAATATCCTCGAGAGTTGAATCAGAAAAACCTGCCACTGAAAATTTGCTAAGTTTCAAAAAAAAAGTCAAGAGGACTTACATCCACCAATTTTGCAGGAAACCCGGGCCAATTTCACTGGGCTTGATGGCTCCGTTAGGAACATTCTGAAGAGAGTGAGTAGAACTCGAGAGATCTTTCAAGAGTGAACAATGACAAAGTATGCTCTTACACTTAAAACCTCCTCTTTGAATACTTCTGCAGTTTTTGTCGCTCCAGAGATTACTAAATATTCGTACACATAGGCAGCGAGTCTAAAATGTGTAGGTTACACATGTATATACCCAAAAGAGATCATGAATGTTCACTGTAACTCCCATTTACCCAGGTAAAATAAATGCGAACACCAAAAGGTAGCTTTGCCTACATTCAGGTCGCTTTTCGTGCTTGCAATTGTGAGTATATATCCTAGCAGCAACGAGTTCATGTGGTTGCTGCTAAGTTATACAAAGAGCACTGTTTGAGTGCACTCGTTATTATTTGAAGGCATTTGTGGGTTTTCTGCGGGCAGGCGCATGACATCATGGCACACCCGAACAAAAAGTTTAGGTTAAAATGAATATACTCGATAACCAACTCTACATGGAAACCAATCAACAACTTCAATTTATGGGTATCTATTTCACACCTACAAGACCCACTATCAAAAACGCCAAGTTAAGAACGTAATAACAGGCTATAATATTCACTTTTCTTTTGCATGAATGTCGCTCTGACTTTGAACAGGAGCACCAGGCTGCATACTGCCAGGCGGCCTGCGAGCAGCTTGTGGAGTGAACATTCGATTATTGACGATGTACCAAATTCATGGCAAATTAGAGCACGGGCTGGAAACGTATGAAACAAATGTACTTTGTAATAGCAGTGTAGAGAAACGCTATGAGCAAAAAGAAAACCGCTATCTTCAAAGATATTTCTGTTTGATTGCTTGAAAATCTAAAAAAGCAGCACTTTCTAAGACTAACATGACAATAACTCATTGAAACAATAAATTTAAGAGGGGTTCTATTACCATGCCAAAAATGACTTGAGCAAACAATATTTCATGATACAATTCAGGGTAACAAATCTGCTGATTAATATATTACCAGAACGTACTGTTCTGATTGGGATATAACGAATGTTAAAAAGAGGCAAGACTAAGCAGCTGAAGAGCATCCAACGCCCAACCGAAATACGTGAAAATGCGACAAAAATCAATAAATCGCCAGAACACGCCTCGCTACTCATCATCATCCCGAAGATGGAAATTCACAACGAACATACAGCACAACGCCCGAATAGTGTGGGCACATTGCACAAAAAAAACGACTTTATTATCGTTGGCGGTCGTCCAAATGAGTATCGATTCGCTGCGATGCTCATCTCAGGATTAGAGCGTCCTCCATGGAAAACTGGTACAGCATACGGTAGACCAGCCTTGGCTGCTTGCCAACATTTTGTTCGATTGGAGCACACTATCTCAATAATGAGAATAGCTCCAGTAGAGTTAACGTTCATCTACTTTCTCGCTTAACAACTAGCCCTAAAGAGCTCCATGAGCTTTTGAAAACTGAGGTAAGTAATTTAGTTCGCACTTGGCTTTCTTGAGCTATCGTAACTGTGCTGTTCCAACAACTTAGTGATTCCTCACAGTGGTAAACTTGATGGAATTTTTGCTCCTGATGCCTTTCTCCTATCCGAAAAGGATAGGGCCGGCTTAAGCAACGTGTGGAACGTGCTTTTTTTTGATTGAGTGTCTATGCCTTACTGCAAATATTAAGTAAGTAGTGAGGCTTGAGAAAAACAGCTTCAGGAAAACCTTTATGTCATAGAGGTCCTCTATAAATCAAACAACTTACAAAAGCAAAGAGTTGTTTTTAAAAGTACTTTGCTGTGATAGGAGCTTGTACAGTGACTTACTGATGGAGGGATAGATGCAGTTCCGCCTCTTATCGTTTTATTCTTTTAAAAAAAATCAAGGTTCATGGAAGCGCAGTTCATCTAGTGCCGTATACTGACCGTTCGACATTATATCGCAAGAGTATTAAGAAGGAATTATTACATTTGTTGTGTAGAATTGAGTACCATTCATCAATAAGTTTTCGAGTGAATCCGGCTGAGCGCTGGTGAGGGTTACTCTTATGGAGAGTCGCACTCGCGGGAAATCCTTTTCTTTGGGCATTAGTATGGGGAACTTTTGAAGCAACTATTCAATAATTCAGAATGAAATTAAGTTGACACGTTTGGTGCTTCTCGGTCGTGATTGGAAGGTATTGGTAAGTCACTTTCCACGTTTACACGTATCTAATACTAGTTAAAGTACTTCGATGATTATGAGAGCTTTGCCAATCCAGCCACGACTCTGATTCTCATGTTAATGGTGAAAAAGCATTATCGAATCGTTCAAACACCTTCCTCTGCGATGATCCTATGAACTGTCTTCCATCAGTCGTGGTGTCTGAAGTGTGGATGTAGCTGCTCTGTTCTAATATGAGTAATTAAGTTGAAGATTATCGATGCGCCGAAGCCCTTCATGCCGCTATAGCTCTGACACAAGCTCATCTGCTTACCACTTTTTGTTGCTGTCTTTGAGCTGACCGAAAAATGATTTGCCATTTAGAGTTTGAGAGTTAATGATACTTAGTGATACTGTGGTGACTGTAATGGAAGAGCTTTTGAAGCTGAACATTGATTTTATTCCTCATGAATTTTATCCTTGTGGTGATGGCCCTGTCTTGGTTCTATTTTGATCAACGGCCCCTCTCGACTCTTTTACTTCTTCAAACAAGGTAGACGTGTCAGGAGAGCTGCTATAGTTCAATCATTTTTGTCTTCTACCAGTATATTCTAGTAGACATACTTTATAACGACTGATCTCCCATGTCTTGTGACTGGAATATGAAGGAAAAAAGTCCTTCAACATGCTTTTGGTAGCAAATAACCGGTTCTATTCATTTAGCGACTCTCCTATTCGTCTGAATTAGGCTCCTGAATCTTAAAGGGTAGATCTAGTTTTCCTGTTTATAACTTCAGGTTGGGCCAAATGGTCTTCCTTGCATTGAGCAGAGTATTTTGTTGACAGAAATTTCCTCTTTTCGCTCTTAGGATACTAATATCTTACTTTTTGAAGAAGTTTTCCTGCACTCCTCACAGCAAGACGAGATTTACCTGTAGTGGCCAGAAATATATTTATTTCGATGATACAAAAGCAAATCACATGTCTGGTTGATCTTAACCGCATCCTCCACGAAGAACTCAAATACTCCACGGAAGCTTTTTACAACAAGACCGTATTAAGCTGAGGCTATGAATATGAGCCTCAAAAACCGAGTGTATATGGAGATATTCTGATGATCGATCATCATTCTTATTAGTTCTCTAACGCATTTATTCAGGTTTCATCTTATTCAGGTATGCGGATATCCCCTGTGCTTTGCTTACGCAGAATTATCAACAGTGCGTACCATCCGTTCGAAACAATTCCCAAGGCGGACCGATGGCTCGTCCGTGAACGACAAAGCCGGTTCACAGCTGTAGGCTATTTGATTCTGGTTGATTACTTTTCATATTCTCATTTAGTTATGTGCTCCCCTACACTGACACTTCGTAGTAGGGGTTTTGAACTAGCCTCACATGCCGTAGAGTTCTTTACTGAATAATACAGCTTTCGTAGTCGAAAAGAGCACTGACACAGTAATCTAGAGTGGGTCATGACTCAAAGTTGTACAAGGACACGGGCTGGTGTGTTCGGCAGGAAGGGATCGCTCGCTTCATGATCTTTTGAACAAGTCAGGATCCACAGCCCAATTACATAAGTGGGCGGGACGCCTACCTCGTTCAAGTACTTGGAACGAAAAGCTTTGGCCAAAAAAATACCGCCTTGGGGAGGTGCGTAAGGTCAGGTCCCACTCGCGGCCTGCAATCAATTGCTATTGAGATTTACACCTGTTGTGAGCATGTAGCGAAGCGACCGCACTGCACTTCAAGAGGGAGATTTGGTTTGTTCTGAGTCTTTTACGGTTTGTGTCTTTCATTTCTTTTGTATGTATGCAACTTATTCTTTAGACATCTTTCCTGTTATTTTTTCAGAATTCCGCTTTGTTTTTAATGCACATGCAACTGCGGTTAAGGCGAAGCGCGCTTAATTGTTAGAACTTGTTATATTGCATTTCGGCTTCACTTTTGTCTCGCAATACACTGCTCGTGTGTAGATGTAGCCTCATAATTCGGCGGTAGAATCGCACTTCCCCTATCATCGTGGTAATTGACCCCACCTTCCCCTAAATTCTCCCCTAACCATCCCCCCNACCCCCCCCCCCCCCCCCCCCCCCCCCCTACTCCCTCTCTCTCACACATAGACACACACTGACAGTCCCTGATGGTAATTATGTACCATTGTTCTCGGTTTCCTTCATGATTGTTACGAAGTTATTCTCTAATTTACAACGGAACTTCACCTTCGGGCGAGTTATTGTTATCATTGCAGTGGCAGTATGGAGGAGATCGGACCTGCTATAAGCATGGAGCTATTCGGTTAAATAAAATATTTTTGTACCTTGACATGCAGCGACGGGACGAGAAGAACCTGGAAAAATTTGTAGGTTATTTTGGTTTAAACCTTTCTCTTTTGCTTGAAAATAGATGTTTCTTTGTAGTCCATGAAAACGCCACAGGGTTAATTTTATCAACTCTGAGACAAAAAATTTACATGTGGAGAAAACGTAATTGTTTCCCCCCCACAAATAATTGAAAATTCTCTTCCGTACTTGATTTTTATGTCTACTTATATGATAGACGACATCTGTTTCCTATGTTTACCCTAATGTTCGAGACGTAGCATGTTCAATTTTTTGTGAACTCAAATCGCCATGGGGTAATCATATCTATAGGCTTGTGCGCATGAATACCCTACAGTTGACTGAATAATCAAGAAATTAAAGCGTTGCCGCTGAGAAGAACATCAATGATGGTGATGTCGTAAACGCGCAAAAAGGCTGGAATACTGCCCTTCCTAATAACCTGCGCATCCTGTTCGTTAGTCGGTCCCTTTTGCGGTCCCGCATTCGACTTCAGTTCAGATTTTTATTGGCAGTATGAATGCGTGGTGACCTATATAGTGGCTGCGATGGCCAACCGGTACACTCAGAGCTTCCATCCCTCCACACGAGTAGGGTACCAATTCTCAACCGCCGATGGAGGGCGTGATCGGCCAGGCGGCTATCCATCCGTTCAGTATATGTATAGGAGAAGAGATTAAAAGGTGGATGATGGAGAAGAGGTGAAGGTGGCACACAAAGAACTAACTCGGTGTCAAGTGTTATTCCGTATTGTACACATCTAATTTCGGCAAAGGGGGGTACGAATTTTTCACGGTGTCCGTACATTCGCAACACTGCCGGTCCGCTACATCGCGCCTCCTCACCTTCTTAGAGCAAATTTGTACCAATAGGTGATCCGCAATTCCATACTCATATCCAGTTTGTCTTTAACTTGCAAGGCATTAACTGATGGTAAGTTTTGGTGGGGATCTTGTACTGAACTTCGTGATATTTTCCTTTCTTAGTTCCTATTTACTGGTAGCCTTAGAACACTACTATACTGCGTGAATAGCGCCCTCATCGAAGGTAAGGCGTATGAGTCGTATGTGTGTGGGTGTGTGTGGACAGATAAGAAGCTTCGAACTGTTTTTAGATCTTAAACGTTGAAGGTTTGCTAGGAATGACCAAATAAAACGCTTTTAACGTAAAAATCTGTACGACAGGCAGTTTAAACATCTAGGGCATCTTTCAATTTTCAGCGGGGCAAAACTGATCTTTCCCATGTGTGGATTGGATGGAGGCTTTGATCCCATGCTATCAGCATCAACACTTAATGCGGTGTTGCCTCCCACATGAAGGAACCCCGGGTGATGACATAAAACTCAACGATGAATGTATGACTTGAAACAATGCGATAACAAACAACGTCTGAGTAATTATGATGATCATTGGGGTTAACATCCTACTTTATGTAATTTGCTAAGTGTATCTGTTGGTGTGTCGGTGTGTTTGTGTGTGTGTTTGTTTGTGTGTGTGTCGGTGTGTGTGTCTGACCGGAAATTCATAACTCCTGTCCNCGTGGACCTAGAGCGTTCAAATTTGGTAGGAGTAAGGGGGGCAGGATGGGAACACCTATGGTAGGTGGCAGGACTGAACTCCGTTCACAGGGAGCACGGCGTGCGCGTTAGAAATTTTGGGCAGCAAATTCATAACTCCTGTTCCCGTGGACCTAGAAAGCTCAAATTTGGCAGGAATACAGGGGGCAGCATGGGAACCATATGACAGGTGGTAGGAGCAGACTCCACCCACAGGGAGCAGGTTGTGCGCGATAGAAATTTTAGGTCGCAAATTCATAACTCCTGCTCCTGTGGACCCAAAGCGTTCAAAATTGGTAGGAGTATAGGGGCGGCATGGGAGCACTTTTGCTGGGTGGCAGGACTGTACTCCATGCACAGGGAGCGAGGCGTGCTCGATAGTAATTTTGAGCCGCAAATTCATAACTCCTGTTTACGTGGATCTAGAGGGTTCAAATTTGGTAGGATCACACTTTTCGTATTACCAGTGGAACCTCAGCATTCTAAAAGATGATGCAGGATATGACAGGATCGTAGGTACTCGGTGACAGGAACCAATGATAACTGATAAGAGAAGATAAAGGACCTAAGAGTGCCACCTACCGATCAAAATCCTAACATCTTCGGTATCTACGATGTAGCTTTAACTGTTCAGTATGTTTCATTCGATGAGCGGGATGGTAGAGCAGGGTGACAAACGTGAGTGGCAAGTGCAGTGATAGGGACCCATTAGGGCATTACGATAAGCAGATTAGAACTTTGTTCATTTCTTACTACTAGATCACGACCGCTACCTAGCAAGGTTTGTGATTAATGAAGGATCCTCTTTGCTCGATGTCACTTGCGACAAAACTTATTCGACCGCCTGTAATCTAGAATTCTCAACGAATGATATCTCCGTAAAGAAAAGGGTCCATTGATAAAAAATATCTGATAACGGTGTTATCATCACTCAGAACATTTCCATAGCATCATCTTTGACTGTCTAACAGTTGAATTTTTGATGGGTATTTATTGCAAAGATAGAGAGCAAAAGTTCGAGACTTCCATTCGAAGGCGTAAGCACCGACTTTAACTGAATACCATTTGCACTTTCCTGTTAGTCCTGTGTTAAATTTCGTGTTCAGGAAGCTGCCATTTGTTCCAAAATAGGAGTGGAGAGTTAGACTTACTACAGTTAGCAAAGAAAGAGGGAAGCTTTCGATTTCTGTTGTGTCAAAGAAGGATTTCGAGCTCTGTTGTAGTTCCATACCCTCACTCAGCTAAACGCGGAAAAACTAAAGACTATAAATTTTGAAAAAGGGAATAAAATTCTTCAGTTCAACATTTCTCGGGATAGGGGGTTTGACACAAGAAGGAGGAGAGCCTGGCGTTAGCCGGGTGATCCGAATGGCTATTAATAAAGTGATCATGCTGGGTTACCCTTTCTATCGGCTGGTCCTAGAAAAGCAAATGAAGGCGTCAATTTTTCAGAGCGGCTCTCATTGCAACTGTGCAGATTACACTGAATACATACCCAAGAGCATACCAGGAAGCGACCGAAAATAATTTCGAACACTTATGTTCACTAAATTTTATAATACGTATGCTTTGGGGTCCTTTGAGAGTGTGAGTATAATATATGTATTTAGACGAGAGAGAGGTCACGAATCTAGGTGAAAAATGTTTCCAAAACTCCGAAAACTCTGCTTGTAGTCCTTTCATCAACACTGACTTTTACTGTTCGCCTCATTACTGATAAGAGGGTTTCTCAGGTTGCAGAGGAGCGTCTTACTGCCGCACTAGCTGAACATCATTTCGAGTATAAACACTTTCGCAACATGTTGGAGAAGGCTCACATTTTATTGGACAATGTTGTCCTTTCGCAGTTGGCTATCTACGAACCGCGGACATTCCAAGTAAATGGAAGTTATGGTTGGACTTTCTCATGCATTTTCATAAAATAATTACTTCTTTTGAAGAGTCTAGTTGCTCTTGCAAAAGAGATGGCCATAAAGGATGGGCGGAATGTTATTCCTGACGATGAATTTAAGTTTGATGTACGTTTCAGCCTTCTTGATTATTATCTTTTTCTTGTCATACATTTTCTTTAAACTCCTAGTTCAAGGTTCATCTGGATGATTCGCTTTTTGGTGAACCATTTCCTAAACCTCGCCTATACCCGAAGGGACCCGCCGAAAACCATAAGATCCCTCCACGAAAGTTGAAACCAGAGGAATATTGAGACGTTACAGAGCTTCATTCGTTCTTAAGTATCACCTCACTACCACTACTGTTATTAAGTTGTTTTTGTCGTAACTGTTGATTTTCACGAATTGTTATGATTCTCTTCAGTGACAAGTTTTACATTTTTGTCGAAGAGTGGAGTTTGCAAAGAACAACAGACGTTTGTCTGGATGATAGTACCGAGAAGGTAGTGCCTTTAGTACTCAGCCTGTCATAAGCTCTGCTAGAACATTGAATTCTAACACATCCTACCTATCATTAGCCATCCATAAGTAGGTGAGGTCAGTTAGAACAGATGCTTCATGCAAAGAAAGCTTCCACAATTACATATGTGCAGATGTGTTGTTAGCAAGATCATTTTTGCATTACGTTTGTTACAGACAAAACTGCATCGTAAGATTTGAGTATCATATTATAGTAAGATAGGTGTTTGTCGAATGTCGAGTAAAAAGTTAGGAAATGTCGAGTAAAAAGTTAGGATTATTAATTGAGGAACTATGGACTAATTCATATCGAGGTTTTGGTAGGATTCACATGTGAAATTAGTTATGATGATGAGGTGAGCTTCCGAAACTTCTGCAAAGTACTTTTTTTTTGCAGTATTATTCGTGTTCGTGAGTTGTGAAAATTACCATAGAATATCGTATTTCCCTTCTCGGAGAACATCGGTAGAGGTCATCAGTGCGCCATTTTTAGAGGTGTTGTAAAGGTAGAGGTTCTAGCGATGGCAAAAGATGGTTCTATAAGCCCATTTTAACGTGGATAAGCACGATAATTTCACCTGAACATTCCCGTCTTTTCGAAGTGGCTAGATGTACGTCAGTACAGAAAATATAATTTTGTAAGCATGACTACATATACCTTGACTATATCAGGTACAGCTAATACGAGCAGAGCATGACGGCATAAGCCGAAACGTTTGAAAGACACGCTAACAAAATTAATATAGTACCTTTGGACTTACCAGGGGAGGATCCCAAATCGAAGCGGCCCTCTGAAATGAGACCTGTACAGTTAGACGTGTTTCGGATGCTGATCTCAAATCTGCTTCCCAAATTCCTTCAGTGGAGTTCTGGGGCGACGCACGATCGTACCCACTCAAATCGGCTCCGTCTTGGGATACTATCCGCATTCAATTTCCATTTGGAGTTGCGTTTTGAATGGTTATGCAAATTGTTTATATGGTTTATACAAAGACTCGCGGTAACCACCCAATAAACAGGTCAGTGCTATATCCACCCAGACGAGTCTGGAAACAATCAACCTATCTCAGAGACCTCGGCTGGCCTGAACAGTAATCGATGCTCAATTCGATCTCTGGACCACCCGTGTGTGAAAGTGTGCCACTTGCCACTACATCACCTCTGCCGCTGTATATACAGGTTAAATAGATCTTATGGGATGCAACGGAAAAAACCCATATCATGTGGAAATTCCGTACTCAATAAAACCGAAGCATAGTCTCTCGCACATGAGGCGTCAACCTTACCATTGCTGCGGCGAGCCACAATTGAGAAGCCTGGCACATCCATCTTTAGGTGTGCGCATTGTATCCCGCCCTTCTTTGCGTTCAAAAACATTTGTAACAAAAGCAAAGCAAAATGTACATCAACCAATGTATTGTCCACTGTTAGCCGTTGTTAATTTTGTGCCATCTTTCTGGTAGCTTGTTGATTCCACGTCTGTAGACATCCTCATCCTTTGAGGTAGTCTAGTCACTAACCCATTTCCATACTTTTTTGGCGTTTCGGAAGCGTATATCGGCGAGCTGACTTGCATGGACCGAAATAAATGTTAATCCAGAGCAGCTAGATCCGGGAAGTATGCGGGCTGCGCAACATTCCCTACAACATGGGACCTGACGTTGTCGTGGTCGAACAGTACCTTAGGTTTCCTTGGGTCCGGAAACTTCTCCCTTGACACGGCGTCGCACATGCCGCACCCGCCGCGTATCGCAGGATTGCGATGGAAGATTGGAGCGCGCGATTTGTGAGGTAGGGAGTCCTTTAATTATTTGAATTGGCTGACCGCTTTCTTCAATTTCAATGCAGTCTTGATCGTCGCTTACATAGGAGGAGTCATTTTAATTAATCAAGTCTAACAAACATGAAAACGAAAAAGAAACAGAAGAAAAACGATCAAATCCAATAAAAAAGCAAGGCAATCAACGAAAAATATCGCGTCCTATCGATTGGCGGGGAGGCTTGGTGAGTACGGTAATTGCAGTGACATTTGCCGCATGCCGCGACATAGAATGCCGCGATAGGGGAGAAGTTCCGTTACTCTGTTTCCTTGCTATTAACAGCCGCTTTTTGCTGAGAGCATCCGACAAATTGTCAACTTGGTGTTCGTAGCGGTTCAGTTTCTCCTACATTCAGCAGCTCATAATACACACACAACGCCCTTCAGATCCCACCTAATACACAGGATGAGTTTTTAGCAGAGGATATTCCGCTTTCGCTGTAGAACTCATGGTTCACATACGCTGCTTTCCGTTTCGGATTATCGTGGTAGAGCCATTTTCCATCCCTCGTCACAATCCGGTAAATAAATGTGTCCTTTCGTGGTCTTCGAAGTTTTCCTGCGGGCTTTTGCGCGTGCTTCGAGCTGCTTTTCTGATAACTGATCAGTGACCCACTTCTTTCGGTTCTTTCCCGTTGTGTGCAGGCCTCTGGAAATAGTCACACGGTCGGCGTTTAGCTCCAATGCCAACTCTGTTCGGTTCCCAGTTGGAATTTCACTCCATGACCGCCTATGTTTTCAGGTGGTATTTATAGCAGAGGGTGCTAAAGGTGTGAAGGTTGTTCTCAAGATTAGCAGCAATGAAAAGGTGAGCAAAGCGAGCCTCGGGCATCAAACTAACTACGATTCCACGATAGTGGTTTCTAAAACGTCTTGGTCCCCTATGAAATTTTGTTTAGCGCCAAAAAAGAGTGTTAAGAATTCCTAAAATTTGAACCTCGAACCAACCAGACACCTCAGCCATTGAGGAATTAGCTTTGAAAGCTTTTTTGATTTAGTTGCCAGATATGCTTCTCGATAGATCGGTATTCTCTATCCATCACGTCAGTAGCTTCCAAAGTTTTGGCAAGTTGTTTTCAACAACAGTGAACTAGCACTTTATAGTGACAGTAAAAACACCTGGAATGTTGCAATGCACATCGGTTAGTCGAATGATTGAATTACTCTTTTACTTAAACCTTTCATATATTTACACTGGGCTTATTAATTCACAAACAACAAATAATAACCGCACACCAAACAACAGAACAATTCAGAATCACTGATGAATTTTAAAACAGTCAATGATCAGTAGCTAAATGGTGGTTAGTATGGACGACCTCGTCCTCTTGCTCGTCCTCGTGAACTGCCTCTTATAGGCCCTCCACCGTTCCTCCCATCTCTGTCTCTGCCATTCCTACCTTCTCTTCCTCGATCAAAATCTTGGTCATTGTTACCGTAATATCCGTCGTCTAAGTTGGACGTATTTAATATTCAACACTTCCACTCGGATCGCTAAAAACTCACCTTGCTGTCTGGGCGGCCCTGGTTGCTGTCTCCAGCTGTCATATGAATTGTCATTCGATTCTTCATACTGGGAAGGAGGAGCTTGTCCGGGTGGACCTCCCCACGGCCGCCCAATATTTCGTGGCGGTGGTCCCGGTGGAGGTGCCTGTTGACTATGAGATGGATGAGACATAGCGTGATGCGGTGGCATGTTATGGGGTACTGGACCTGCTCCACCATGTGTCGGAGGCATAGGTAATGAATCCTAAAATTGAAACTCTAAACTAATCAACATTGCTCACATAAGATTGATGACACATTTGTAGTTTGCGATAAATGAACAGCGCAATGAGAGTCTTTAAAAATCTCCCGTGTGTAAATATAGCTAACATCTAACCCTTAACGAATGGGTATAAAATTATTAGGGCTAGATCCAAGCCAATGTCCATGTGAGTTCTTCAATACATATGTTCTCAAAATGTATAATTTTAATTTTACTCTTGGGCAACTTTGCTTGTTGCCACTTTATCCTACTTACTATAAAACGCTTCGTCCGTCGTTTGTCGTTATGTATGTCTGTCACGAAATTCCATAGCTCCTTTAGATCTGTCTGGAGAGACCGGATCAAGGGTGGGGTGGGTGGGCCATGTCTCGATAAGTGTAAGGTACACATCAGCTTGGCGGAGCCCCGCCCACAGTGGGCGTGGCGTGCATCGAAATGAGCCCTACTGAGGACCATGATTTCAAATGCAGTCACAAGACGGCTTGGGTGGGCGACGTAGTCAGTAAATGGGTGTAAAGGTGGCTAGAGGTGCGCATTGGTAAGTTAGATCGAACTAGGTAGACCCACCCCGATGGGCGGGGCGTTCTCCAAAAATGCAATGCTTTAAGAAAACATTTATAACTCGGCTTGGAGAAAGCCAACAGAGCACGAAACAGTTGATGTAGGGGAAGCATTGTCGGTGTCTCCAGCATAAATGACGCCAGCGGAGTCCCGCCCACAATGGGCGGAGCGTGCCTCGAAGCTCACATCGTTTCTTACATTGATATACGAAAATTCATAACTACGGTTCCCATGGAACTAGAGGGTTCAAATTTGGTACGAGTACAGATGACATGATGGGAACACTCATGGTGAGTGGCAGAAGCGGACTCCAACCATAAGGGGGCGGGGTTTGTGTGGAAAACAATAACTCCTGTCCCCGTAGATCAAGCGCGTTCAAATTCTGCAGGAGCATAGGCAGCAGGATGGGAACGCTTATGGTGGGTGGCAGGACCGGACTCCTCCCACAAGGGGCGGGGTTTGTGTGAAAAATCATAACTCCTTTCCCCGTGGACCGAGAGCGCTCAAATTTGATGGGTGTGCAGGCGGCAGGATAGAAATATTTATGGTGGGCCGCAAAACCGAACTCCTCCCACATGGGGCGGGGTTTGTACAAAAAATTTAAACTTGGACCTAGAGCTCTTATATTGTAGTGAGTGCAAGGTCTCTTCTAGCCAGATACCTTCATTCAACCATATTACTTTTTCTCCAATCAAGAATTGAATTTCTTCCTTCTAAAATTTTTTCGAGGAGCTGCCATGCTTTCGGCTCCGAAGAGTACTGTCGTGGTGATTGGATTTTCCTCGTGGCCGGATACTTAGGTTTAACCACGCAGACTTGTAGTGGCGTATTGAAAGCCTATTTGGCCTATACAGTGACTTACGGTGGCCAGTCAATGTACATGTTAATGCTGTTATCCTCCCAACGAGTCTGGTACCAAATAACCGACCACGGAGGGATGAAAGTATGGTTGGCCGAGGCGGATACCGATCCGGGATTTGAACCGATAACCACGCGTGTACGAAGTGCACCACTTGCCACTACACCACCTCCGCCCCGACACTTTTTATATACCTACCAAGCCCCTTGAAGCGGCTGCTACCTCTACTGTTTCATTCCCTGAGTGCTTGATTCCTGCGTGTTGGCACCACCCCAACCCTAACAGAAGTTCCACATAATTTCTGTCGTTTCTATGTTCGCTCACTGTGTTGTTTCGAAGTTCATGAGAGGGTGAGTATTGAGTCAGGCACTACTGCACTGCACACTAATGTCATTGAACGTCTTTTCCAAATCATGGAGCTCATGTATTTTCACAGAACTTCTAATTCCGTAGATAGAGTGCGTGGGCAGTGGTAAAACGCGCATTTACTTCTTTGATAAGTCGGTAAGCTCGGAGCAGCACGTTAAAAGATCAATTAACTTGTTCTCGACTCCTTAGGGGTCAAATGAAGGTGAATCTGTCTATGGATTCACTGACCTGTGGTCTTCGGCGAACTTCCCGAACATCTTCATCGGCATTTCGTAATCGTTGATCGTGATTCCCTGGCGGATGGGTCACTGTAAGATACATACATGACAAATCAAAATGCTTTATATGTTATCTGAGAATCAAAGCTGCCCTTCTATACTCATTCAACAACAGCCGTTCTCACAAAAAACCTCTTCTTGAAGTGCCGCAGATTAGTAGGATTCGTTCGAACTGGGAGGGCGGAAAACGGTACGCTTCAATTCACAACATGGTAGGGTTTAGTACATATTTGAGTAATATTCGGCATACTCTTGTGGTAGTAGCGAGTTAGTGTAGACATGCTGAGTCTTGCTTTCCAACCCCTGGCAAAATCTTCAACAACTACCCCTCGGACAACTTAGCGAGGGAAATAGGATGAAATAATAGATTCAATAAAAAATGCAAAAAGGGAAAAATTGATTTTCAAAAACCATTTTGAAATGTAAGCTCTACAATTCAAATCAATGAACTATGTATGAAAAAAGCAATTAACAGGCGAATTGCTTTCAGCATCTTACTGACCCATTTTTTTCTTGCTCATGAACGAGCTACCCGATTTATTGGGGGCATCTTTCAGACATCAAGGAAGAGCTTCGTGCTCTCCGATCAAACTCTCACGCCTTCATCTCAACAAACAATGAAGATTCAAGCGAATAGACAACGGAAACATGAAACGTAGCACATTTCTGATTGCAATCTATTCAAGGCATTGAGACATGTTTATAAGAATTCAATGGGATTTCCTTTATCAAAACTTTTTCCTATAACCACCAATACTATGCATTTAGAGGAGACGGTCGCTTGGCGCGATCCCTCCCGTCGCGCCGCCCATTCGACGCGGTTTGCAAGCTTGACAACTCGTATTCTATTCTCTTCTACCTGTCTACATAGTCTATTTGGCTTTTTCATGGTGCTTGAACGAGTTGTCCAGCTTCTAAACCGTGTCGAATGGGCGGCGCGATGGGAGGGATCGCGCCAAACGACATACACCTTGCGTGTAGCCTTTCTCGCCCAAAACAGAGGCTCTCCCCGGGACCCCATCTTTTTACGCTGCACTACACAAAGATCCTGCCGTCACTCAGGCAATCTGAGGACCCTAAGCACACCACAGTTGTTGACTCAGAATTATTTTTCAATGTTTTTTTACTTCTTTTGATAAGATCTACATTGTGGTTATTTTTCAGGTGAGAAGCCCACTCGCTTAAATAAGGTCTTCCCAAATTCAGCAAATCGGTTGGCCTTCCCATCAACAAAAAAAGAGGTTGCCATGGTTGCCATTTGCCTCATGTCCTTTACTTACGTAATTATGGAGCCATGAGCGCGCACCTGCAGAATATTCTATTGCTTCCTCCTGACCCACACCCGTGAATCAAATAGATTTAGCGGGTGTATGTAACAAATAACGAATGTAACAAACAATGATAATAAATGACCTGTCTGAGATATTTGAAGAAGGGGAATTTCAGTTTTTTCAAAAGTGTATACTACTCAATCTCACACTGCTACCTTCATCTGGGAGAAAAAATTCACAATCTAGGCATCAACTCGTATTCATTTTGCCAGACATTTCTCAGATCGCTCAATGTACCCTTTCATACTTCCGAGAAACCTACTCTCTCCAGGTGGCCGTCGCATTTCTGGCGGAGGTCCCATTGGGCGATGACCTGGAGGTGGTCCTCTTTGTCGTTGAGGCGCGCCTTGGCCCGCACGAAGGTCCACATCTCCAGAAGGTATTGAAGAACTGCCCATTCGATAATCTTGATCCTGAAGTAAAACCCGTAAACTTAGCATGTTGGCCGACACTTTTGGTCAAAACACGGATAAATCCAGAAGCAGCTTTCACTCTTACTTCAATCCTTCCCTAGTAGCGTTTATGAGGCCTTCACACTGAAAGAAGTTCCAGGTTCATATTCTTGTCTCTAGAAGTCATAGCTGACGTAGCCCAACCGTATACAAAAAGTATGTTGTCAACTGAGCGGTCTTGCTTGTCAAAATTAACAATGAATTAGATCAACTCAAAATTGCCCTAAATTAAAATCTATGATTCCCGAATACCTATATTTTTGTACATCTCAGCATGCAAATTGTTCATGTCATCCTATTCGTAACGCATGCCTCTGAACGCATAATAGATGAAATGTTGACAAGGGAGGTGAAAAACAGATAAAATAATTTAAAGACTTTTGATGAGAAACCTGTTCCATGTCCTCTTTGCTTGATGGTGGAGGAGCTTGCTTTTGGGCTAGCGACGGAGGCATAGGAACACCGGGCGGCCATATGCCGGCTGCTGCCAGCATCTGCGGTGTCATACCAGGTGGAATCGCTGACACCATTAATATGTTGAATGATACGAAGAGATAATTCATGAAAAGATAGGCAATAGCACATACACGGAGGTAAATGTGGAAATGGAGGTCGTTGAGGCGGCATTGGCAGTGGATTTCTAGGGGCACTCGTTGGAGGGGCTCCACTTGCGTTCGGTGAAGCTGTTGCATCGGAAGTTGGAGTGGAGGAATTCGGCGGGAGAGAGCCCCGGTGAGGAGGCATCGGTAGACGACCTACAAGTTCATATTATAACTGATTTCAAAATCAAATGGCAATTGGCTTACATAGGGTAGCAGTAGAGATGTGGACCAGATCATAACACCAAGTATTATGTACGTGGTGGAATGAAAAAGAAAAGCAACTTCGCGAGCATCGAAGTAAATAAACATCATAATTAAAATTCGCGCTTATAGGAAAAGAGAAGCTATCGTCTTTCCAAGAAGGAAAATATTCATCTAACAGCTGACCTTGTTCGTTTGCTATGCCGGGCGGCTTTGCGGGCGGAGGCTTCTCATCTGCATTTGATGACGGCGTATTTGAGCCTTGTGGTTTCCAGCCAGGTGGCATACCTGGAGGAAGAAGGCCTAGCTTCTGCGCCCCGGCAAACCCACCAGCGAATCCAGCAGCAATGGCGGCTGCAGATTGGGCTTTTACTGAAAAAAATCGCCTCGAAATGTGAAGAGTTTCTTCTACATAGCAAGGTTGTACGTTAAAACTTCGCGGTTCTAAAATACCAACCACCCGAGTTACCACAAAGTTCAAGTTAGTTAGTTAAAAATGCCTCTTTTGTTTATGTTGGAAAGCAATATAACTTATGTTATTGAAACTTTAAATGACATCTACGGTTTGAAACTGCTCCGCTGCATTACCTATCGCCAATAAAGACAGTCCTCTTAGGCCGTTTGTTGTAAATGCCCTTGCTCGTGTAATCGTCGACGCATAAAAGCTTTCGGAGGCACGGATTTATGGGAAAAATTCGTGAGAACGAACCAGTCTGCGCGAGCATTGACATTGGAGGGGGCGCCTGACCGAGCAGTCCCTGGCGAGGCCGTTGCTGCTGGTTTTGAAACATGTCATCTTCTGGTTCATCGTCATAGTCATCAACTGTAAACAACGACATCGAGGGTCATTATGTTTTTTGAATTCTAGAAGAAACTCACAGCCACCGCCTCCTGGTTTGGACACATTCCACATGCGTTCGAATTGCCTTTGCGCTTTCTTGGGTGGTGGCTGTTTAATTAAAGTCTTTTTCGCTCCAATATTCGCGTTGTGCTGAAAAAAGAAGACCACTTGGTGCTACGACTACATCTCAGTGAGTCATCCATTAATTCCACGAATAACTGATGAAACGAATGCTTCCGAGAGTAATGAGCTCTTCAGGCCCTCCAAGACGATCGATTTGAAGCGACGTGATAAGGAAATGGTCCAAAATTATGTCTTTATCACAACCCCTCTACAACATGACCAGTTCTGGACCTTCATTTCAAGTGGAACTCGCAACACTGTTTTGTTTTGAGACACATTTGGAGGGATTGCTATGACGCTTACCTGATGTCGTGCATTTAAATCTTCTGGCATCAGAAGCATTGTATGGTGGGCAGTAGCTGGGTTTGACGTGATGTCACGATTCATTTTTTCAACAACTTCACCATCAAGACCCATTCCTTAAACACGTGTATGCATGCATACAAAGAAATAGTACTCGAAATATAAAGATTGCAAAAGAATAATGACGTCAAACTGCAAAACCCGATTCAACTTATAAAAGAACATTTACCAGGTATAACAGGAGCGAGAAATTCTTCGTCGAGACGTACAGATGAACTTTTGGGCTCGCGTTCCTTATCCAACGCACCAACCTTCAAAGTTTAAGAACATTCAAATGAGGATTTTCCAAAACACTGTTATTTCTCGTTATTAATGTACCATATTAGTTGTAAAGGATGCCAATCCAAATATATCTTCTTGGGTGTCTCCAGGTCGGTTGCGTGCCCAGAACTTCGTATTGTTATCATTCGAGCCTATTGAATTGTCAACGAATTTGAAATCTCGCATATTTCAACTTACCAGAATCGTGGAAGAAACAAATACCTGTAGCCAATATATGGCCCATTGGATGGAATTTCATGGCCCAAACAGCTTGATCATGAGCATGCTCCAAAAAGGCAACTTCCTGAAATTCAGTAGAATGGTAGAATGGTACAATGTATGAGCGTATGAACCATTCTTTCAAAACCCTCCTCTGCTGTTGGACTGCAATTGTGTGTTATCGCTTGGCTCAGCTCTCCTCAGTTGCACCTTGTTCGTAAAAATCTACGCCACGATTATGCCCAACCCATAATTTCGATACATTCTTAAGCATTAAAAACGGAAGAACAAAGCTTTCGGGTCTCAATCAATCCCTTCTAAGGTGCGCCCCCAATTCGGAACTCGAACTGCGGACCATGCGCGTGTAAGTGCTACTTGACACTACACCACACTGAGCCTTAGAAATAAACTTCTGCTAAATTCAGTTTTACGAGAAGGTTCACTTAGATGCTTTATATCCTTGAATTTGATAGAGATGTCGTCTCACCTACACGATGAGAATCGAAGCAAAGTCGAAGTTTTTTTTCCTTTTCACTCCTTCATCTTTGCTTACAAGAACCAGGCTATACACCTCGAATGCCCCGTAGTGTGCTTGGGACATAACTGCGAGGAAAAAGCATGAATAAGAACTTCCAAGAGTTGAAAACCAAGTTTTTTCTGTACTCTAGTTACTTCTTCGATTCCAATCAAATCCCTCCTTCCAAATCAATTAGGGGTGCGTATATGGCCTATACAATGACTTGCGGTGACCAGCTTATGTGTCAAAGCTTTTATCCTCCCAGAAGAGTCTGGTACCAATTAACGGACTCCGGAAGGACGGAAGGCTTGGTCGACCTTGGCGGATATCCATTGGGGATTCGAACCCTGCACCCTGCGTGTGAGATAGTGCGCCACTTGCGACTACACCACCTCCGCCTGAGCATTTCTATATCATGTCTAATTATTATTGACAAGTCAGTTTGATTTTGAGAGCTGCATCATTTTGGATATCATCACCCTTCGCACACACAGCAAAAAAAAATATTCATTGAAAACCAATCAAACAGACCTTTTCGTTCTCGACCAGCCAGTATGCGATGGAACCGTCGCCACCACCAGATACGAATAGTCCTTCATGAATAGGATGCCAGGATATTGCTGTAAAACACTCAATTCGCCAAGCTCGTCAGGATAACACATGGCCCCCTAACAACAGACTGAAACCGAGAAAGTATTGGAATAACATTCCTATTTGCATAAGTTTAACGAGCGACTCCACCCACGCTCAGAGATTCTAAAAAAGACGACGAACAAAGGGAGGGCTTGGAAATTCAAAATGCAGGACTTTTATCTTTGCGCGCGATAGTTCAAGAATGCTCTTAAAATTTTCACGAAAATTCTTAAGAGGTTGTTTTACTTGGAAACACTAAAGTGATTGTTTACACAATATTCACTAGTAAACATACATGTAACTTCCTTTTTGTGTCCTTTATAAGAATACATCTCTTTCATGGTGCGGAGATCATAGAGTTTGACGAGGTGATCACGACCCGCTGTTAACAGCCAGTTCCCGTTTTTGTTCCAGTCAACAGCCATCACGGAGCTTTTATGATCTTGACTGCAAAGAAAAACTTGCAAATTTGAGTTATTGCTCGCTGAAGGAGTTGCAGTACTGCTTACAGTGTTGTCAAACAATCCCCTGTTCTTGGATCCCATAATTTCACTGGCTGCTGGGAATCTCTTGAACCCGTCACTATCATTCCCTTGAATGGATGCCATGCAACGCATCTTACCTGAAAACCGCTCACTTATCGAACATTTCTCATATAGAATAGGTAAAGGTCTGCTTATCTGAAAAACCTGGAGCTGACCTCTGATCCATGTCCACGCATAGCTCTTTCTTCAACACATCTAGCGAAATCCCATATTCGAACTGTACCATCGTCAGATGCAGATGCCAATTTTACATCAGTTGGTGCGAATCTGCATGCGAATTCTATGTTTTATGAGCCAGCACAGATATCTTCACTGACTTAACCAATTCAGGAACTTCTGAACAGAAATAACCGCCTGAAAACTTACGATAAACCTCTAACAGGCTCATCTTTATGTGCCTGATACATGTGTACATTATTCATGTTCGGTTGCCAATACTTTATAAATCCTTCGTGATCTGCTGAGACCAACCACTGCTCGTTGTGCGACCATGTCATGGCCCGAATAGCAGAATCATGAGCCTAAATAGCACATTTCTACTTTTTAAAACTGAGGGCACTCTTAAAGTATCATGATACAAGCCGGAGAGGCTCATAAAGTTTGTCAGATAAATTCCTGAATTTTTTAAAACTTCTTTACAACACCAGTTACAAGTTGGCTGGTCAGCTGTCCATTAATAAAGGTGTCTACCCCACCGTTCATTTACTAAATGGTGGAGTATACTCTTGTAAGTAGAGTCTCATTCATTTATGTCACTTTTATCACCATTACTTCTTTTTTCAGCAATTAGTCTAGAAATGCGAAGCTGCACCATCCTGACCATATCACGAACCGGCATGTAACGAAGATTACATTGGTAGAGGGTGTTGAGTTCCAATCGTTTGTAAAAGAAGGATAGCAGCAATTCGCTTATGCTTCAGAGTGCCAAACAGTAGGAGGCAAGTGCTCAGGTTAATTATGGTCTGATAAGAGAATAACGTGAAACAAGGGAAAACTCAAAAGCTAGTATAAAAATGGTATATACGTTCATTCGAATTTTGCTTCGTTCGAGTTTGAAGAGATCCCGTGGGAATACGCGAGGAGCACCTCAACGTCTACATAGATGTCCGAGTTCCAAAAAATTTTTCTTTCAAAGCAGCGATCCCAGTGTTTACTACTGCGGCAGAGCTATAGGACCAAAGACATACTCATCTGATCGGTTTCTGTGACCATTCTTATAGTATCCAATAACAACGATTGTTAGGATTTCAAATGAAAATTGGTCGCAGCAGAACGAAAGCAATATTCCTCTCGTGCTGGTAGATCCTCATCATAAGTAAAAAGGAAGCTATAATGTACACAAAATGGGATTCGAATAGTGAGACTCCGCAGTGGAACGGATTGTCAACAAACGATTGCTTACTTAGTCAGTAGAATTGAGGATTCAGGATTTTGGGTAGTAATTGGGGTATTTTGGGGATTGATAACATCAATTCCATTCTGAATTATTTTAATTTACTCCATTGATTACATCGACCCTTGGTCTCAACTAGTTTTGACTAGAAGATGTAGACCCTGCTTTTCTGCAGCACGGCAATCCCGATCTTTATTAGCCATTCTAAAACGCTTTTTGAGAAGTCACTAATTTATGCCCATAGCTTGCTGTACAACTTCAGAAGTCCCCTTGGGATACATCATTTTGCGTATGTCGGGTACACACAAATGAGAGAATCCCTTTATTCACCCACTTCACGTTTACAATTAAACGGTCAAAATGGGTAGAATAATCAGCGGCATCTCTGTGAAGCTTTATTCACCGCTCCTTTAACAAGAAGAAATTTAATGTCCTTTATGGACAACATGAACTAGCGAAACCAAAACCAGCAAAACTGTCACCGTTTTTAAAGGTTCATCAGTTCAACTACGACTATAATAATAAAAGTACATACGAACAGAACAATACCGCTTCCAGTACCTGTAGAATTGTTTCAAAGTTGAAAGCCGTTCCATTCCATAGCGTGAATTCACCAGTTGACGCACCCGTAATCAGACGTTTACCCTCAGGAGTCCACTGCAGACAAAGAATACGAAAATTTTTGACGAATAACTTTATATGTATGCCTTTTGAAGGTAGTGGGGAAAAAGTATCGAACAGTGGGAAAAACGTTTCGATCATTCAATGAGATCTATGTAGGGACTTAGAAATCAGTAGGGTCTGGAGCACCGGTTGTGGTTAGGGTGCAATCGCTGCCCTCGAGAAACGGAATAAATTACCAATCAGTATCAGATGTACTCAGATGCCATTCCGAGTAAACATCGAAGATTGACATGAAAATTGCTAAAGAAGTCAAGCTTCATGAGGGCAGAATTTCGCGTTAGTTGGAGCAACACTAATTTTGACCCCCGCCTTTATAACGAGCACTCCACACTCTAACGATTTACTTAGACCTGCATTCGAAAATCTGTAGGAGTTCGAAACCCTTCCCCCACTAAAATGTGAATTTGGTGGAATTACTTTGCTGAGTGGAAGTCATAACAAAAAGGCTTCGTCTAATTTAAAACTCACGCATAAACTATAGACTGGACATTTGACTTTATTCATTGCCGCCCTAACAAACTTCGTAAGAATGCAGTCCACCGGTATTTCAGGCGTACACCGAGCGGGCAATGCTGTGTTTTGATACAGCTCATCTGGCTGTTGAACCGGTCGTTGCCACCGCTTGTACATCCACAGTCGCGACTGCAATGTTCTAATTAGACTAAGATGTCAGTAGCAAGTCGGTCTACATCTACAAAAAATCCTAAAATGAATGAAGGTATATAGCCTGGTAGCGAAAAGTGTGCATGGCTGCAGACCTTCCTTTGCGGCTGCAGATCAACTCAAACTCTACACCATTCAACATTAATGAGAACTTTTCGTAAAATTGTACCTCAGCGTGATTGAGAACGGTAGCAACGTAATCGACATGTCGCCTAACGTTGGCCACATTTTTTCGCAAGCGACGACCGGGGCCATCTCCCATCATCATAACATCCATTTGCTGAAGTTGAACCTACAAGAATCAGTTTCACCGCAAAAATATTACTCTTCTATCTACTATCCTTTGCTGAAACAATAAAACTGAATGGGATTCAAGTTGTGTGCCGATTCGTTTTACCGCCTCTTTCACTGAGCTGGATTCTATGAACGCGGCTTTCATTAAAGCTGTAAATTACACTGAGAACCTGAGTTTATCTGTCACCACAACTCCCGCCTAACGGTTCGAACGCTCTTTAATTAAGAGGGAGATTATGAGCAGCAATATAAAGCACATTCACTGCTGCTTATGCGCCTTAAATAATCAAACTTATGCACACTCTGAGAGCCAAAAATTAGACATCAAAGTGAGGCTTAGTCAAAAGTCTCTACAAAAATGTTACCTCAAACACATGTAAATATATGAGAATTGAAACAACATAGTGAAAGCCTTTGTGAAGGCGGCATCTCAAGCATGGTTTGGGATAGGAGATACCATCCTGTTCATTAAACGATCGGACCGCGGCACTCCGCTGTGCAAGCGATGGCACAATGATTATCTGTTGGAATCGAACGAAGAATGCACTCCAGAAAAGTACTGATCACTGCTGAGCATTATCATTTAATGGCTATGGTAACCTTACATGAAGCATGCGTGGAAATGACAGAGAAGATTTTGGGATAAATGCTTGTGAAAAAGACGAAAATCCAATGGCTGGACCTTTCATAACGTCCCGCTATATACTCTAGGGTTGTAAGTAATGAATTTATGTTCAGTGTATATGTCCTCATAGACCAGGCTTTCCAAAAAAGAGTGGAGGATGAAAGCGGAACAACAAGAGGGGCATGCATAGAAGCTCAAATGATCAAAGAACGTTCGTACTCTCATGGATGCGATCGACAAAGCAGGCTTATTCGAGATTGACCAAAGACACCACAAGGAACATATAGCTTTTTTCAAGATTTGCTCCTCTAAATGAGGAGGAATTCAAAAACTGACTAGAAGTCAGCGATCAGACATCAGGAAACATCCGGTCTTGCCGAAGTACACAAGAAAGGATAGGCGTTGTACGCAAACGAGAGAATAAGCCTATAACTACACGTCTACAGTGTTCAAATCGAAAATACTCCCCATTCACTACCCAAGGAACGTTTGAGCCCAAATCTCTGATCAAGCTCCGACATTTCAGTCTATCCTTTACGCTCGAAAAGATTCAGACGCTCAAAAGAAAACCCCGTCACAATGCAGTGACATGTTATCGCATTGCACTACAATAACCTTATCCAAGAGTAAGGTACTGTGCATCAAAAGACTTACGGATGATGGCGTCGATGGGAAGCGAAAAACAGTGCTTGCGGGACGTCGATTAAGAACATTGTTCCCTGGACTCGATGCTGTGGTTGATGGGCCTTAACTACCCACACTCACGACTTAGGTTTCTAATGCTCGCTACAATATAAAAAATATGCGAACCTGATCCTCCTGAAATCGTCAACGTCACACCACTACCCGATGGGCCACCTCCAAAGCGAACCGACTGTACCTGTTGTAAATCAATGTCAATGGTTTGAGTGTAATAAGCCAAAATAAATTCTTACCTGATTCGCGACAGCGGTTGCCATTCTTATAAGCTACATATAATATAAAGGTAAGGAATAAAAATTAAAAACGCACACACACAAGGAGACCTGCAACAAGACATTCATTAAACTCATAAATAAAACAAAAAGCAACGTCGACCGAGTGCACTGGCATCAATCACCAAATCGAGTGAGGAACCATAACAAAAATCAGGATGGACAAATTAAAAAGAAAAGAAAACACAAAATGAAATCGATTGACAACCCAGACGTGGCGACGCGAAAACTGCTGCGGAGTCTGAACCGCGACGCAGCGGCCATGCGATGCGTTCGCTAAAAACAGGAATGCATGCGATTGTAGCGTAGTCTCATGTAGCTTCAAAATCAGACTCTGCCCCTACGAAGGGGCGGAGAAGAACTTAAACAACAAAATCGAACAAACACTACTTGCTGCGGCTGCGTAGCGGCCTTCGCACTGGAGCACGTTATTTTGGTGTGTCTAAACACTGCGGGAAGGTCTTGATGACAGGAGAGTTCCTCTTTCGTAACTGCTTATTGGCGGTTACGTAGCGCGCTCAATCACGTTATTTTAAGTTGATTACCAGTTGTAAGAAGTATCTATGATCAACGGGCTGTTAAACTATAGTTTAGTAATGTATGATCAACGGGCTGTTAAACTATAGTTTAGTAATGTATGTCTCTTTCCTGCATGTTTCCTCGTTCATGTTTCTTCC